TTTGTTTCAAAGGAACCACAGCATGATTACTGTTCATATTTCAATGTATGGTGTCAGTGACAAAACAGGTTTCCTCAACATTCATTTAGATTTTTAACTGTCCTGTTTCACCTGTAAATGTAAAATAAATAGCATTGTTTAGATCAAAGAAAGTACTTTAACATTTGTGGCATTCACCACATCTAGCTAGGAGCATTCAGTAAGCAAATCTCGACTTAATATTGTTGTATACTCACAGATAACCAAGAACTAGGCACCCTCAAATGACTTTAAAGAGAGTGTAAATATAGTAGAAAAACTTTTTCAGAGAGAGGAGAGAACCTTTAACTATCCTGGTAGCTAGACAAAGGAGTACTCGTAACAGGAAAGGAGACAATGTATGGCTGAATCGAACCCAAAACCCCTGAATCACTAGTCAGGTGCTCTACCCACTGCGCTACCCAGGCTGATATCCACAACCTTACTGGAGATTATGAAATGCTCAAGCAACTTCATCACCAATTCATAAGTTAAATCCTTCAGTTCTGAACTAGCAAAAAAAAATATCGAAGTTTAAGTACAATGATTTTTTTTTATTTTTATAGTACATTTCAAAAATATAAATTCAAATGACACTTGGATATAAGCATCTTGAGTGATAAGACAAAATATATTTTCTAATCTTAAATGAAATTAAACTGAATAAAAATCACTCTCACACTTGTTTCCATAGCACTTCCAGTCTTTTGAAGCATACAAACAAGAAAATAAGGCTACATTGCCATGAATATAACAGAGTCAATCAGAAAAAAAGGAAAATTATCAAGAATATCATAAATAGAATCAAATACCTATTTTAACTGATTAGTTTAATTATTAATTATTAATGATTACTCCATAATACTCAGTCTAAGTTGACAATAAAATATCTAAATCTTGGTGTACACCTTAATACATGTATATGAATTATCATTAGTTTACGAACATTTATCAATCAATTTATATATTGCAAATGTTCTCAAACCATTAGTTAAAAGAATACAAAATAACCTTTCTAACTTTTCAAAGTTTTGCTCTTTCTAAAATTATATAGAAAATAACCATATAATTTATGACTATGGTAAATGTTTTACCTAGAAACTTAACATTAAGTTCTGTAGCACATTTTCAACTTTTCCTGAAGTGAAAACTAAAACCAAAGTCCAATAATATAACGAAAAACTCTCGCTACAACACAATTAATAAGCATTCATCAAATTCATTCAAATAAGAAAGAAAATTATCTTCCATAATTCAGTATATCACCTTTATCTAAAAAGTGCATAGCTTAAATACACATTTTCACAAGACCTCTGATTCAAGTTCTCAACAATTTTCAGTCTTTAAAGGATAATGATGCATATTTTTGAATTGTACATCTAAAGAAATAATAAAAATATACATATTTACATAGTTATGAGTTACTTTATATAGACAATGATGGGACTTGATTGAATACACAGTTGCATAAAAAACATTCTCTAATGATTGTTACATTTAGGCAAAAATAATCATGATATGGCTTCAAAATGTTTAAAGCTTAGGTCATTATATGCAAAGATTATTGAAAAAAACTCAAAAACTAGAACTGTCCAATAGGGACAAATACCCCCCGCTGGGTTTTTCAGAGAAGGTGCCAATTCAAAAATACTTTATGGATCTAGAGGTGTTCCCAATTTACTTACAAAAATTTGCAGTGATATATAATTGCTCATCATGTTTCTTAATGAATGAAACAAAGGTGCAACCAAATGAAACATCAATACTAATACATTGTAATTCCATTGTAACATTTTTTTTTTTATTTAATTTTTTTATTTCTGCATTAAAAAAATACATTGCAAATATGTGTTATGTCACTCTGCAAACTGATTGTTGAAAAAAAATCATATACAAAATCAAATTAATCTTGATAACTTTATATCAAATTCATTTGAAAATAAAGAGCTGGTCATCCAGTAATGAAGTGCTTTGACAGACAATAAATTACAATTAAGAGAATAAGAGAAGAGAGATCTTTAATTCTTGTGCCTGATTCCCAGGAGATTATACATGGTTGATAATAAGATGCCTTAATGTTCAACTTCCCACACCAAACTCATTAATTTATCTTTAACTGGATGCATGTCCAGTCATTATTCCCAAGAGATAAATAAAATTACATTATCTTCTGTGCAATGTAAAAACTTTTTAACACTTGATGATGTTTCTTTTTTTAAGTTTATATGAGTAGTTTTAAGCTGTAGTATTTTTGTACAGATATTCTAGATTCTATGTCTCAAACCTTTTACATGAGCCCAAAATGAACAAGTCAATTAAAATAAAAAATAAAACCCATAAAATGCAAAAAAAATGAACAGAAAGAGTTGAAAATTCCAATTGCACACCTTCATACGGTGAACAATAAGTGTACAAATTTTCAGATTAATCCTTGCAATAGTTTCTGAGAAACGGTCTGGACAAAACCACAAAATAAAAATGAAAAAACACCTGTAAAATTCAAAATAATAATCGTATCAAGATGAAAATATTAGGTGCACAACTTCATATGGTGAATAATATTTGCACAAATTTTCAGACAAATCCTTCCAATAGTTTTTGAGTAATGGTCCGGACAAAATCTCGTCTACAGACAGACAGACAGACAGACAGACGGACAGACGGACATGGTGATTCCAATATACCCCCCCTAAACTTCGTTTGCGGGGGGTATAACTAGCAAAATCAAGCAAGTAACTACTGTATAATGAGTAATTTTTCTAAAAAATTGGTTTTTGCTTTCTTAAAATTTGTAAATTAACCGTTGATATTTCAAAATATCAAATTTAAATGACACATCAAACTGTTATTGATTTTTACATACTAGATAGCTTCATTAAAACTTTGAAACAATCCCAAAACAAGAGGCCCAGGGGCCACATCGCTCACCTGAGCAATTGGCTAGGAAAAAGCACACATGACATCAGATCAGAACTGAAAGTTTACTAAGGGGGGGGGGGGTCTTGAATTATAACCCCCCAGGGGGTCATGATTTGAACAAACTTGAATCTACGTACACTACCTGAGGATGATTCCTTATAAATATCACTAAGCATGGCTTTAAAGTACTTGAAAAGAAGATTTTTAAAGGTTTCCCTAGAAATTCCAATGTAAAACTTTTATCGGCCATTTGGCCCCTCTCTACTGCCGGGGGTCATGATTTGAACAAACTTGAATCTACACTACCTGGGGATGATTCCACATGAGTTTCATCTTTCCTGGTCCAGTGGTTCTTGAGAAGAGGATTTTTAAAAGATTTTTCCTATATATTCCTATGTAAAACTTTGATCGGCCATTTTGGCCCCACCCTATTCCAGGGGGTCATGATTTGAACAATCTTGAATCTACACTACCTGAAGAAGATTCCACATGACTTCCATCTTTCCTGGCCCAATGGTTCTTGAGAAGAAGATTTTTATAGATTTGTTCTATATATTTCTATGTAAAACTTGGATTCCCTATTGTGGCCCCGCCCTACCCCCGGGGCTCATGATTTTAACAATTTAATATCTACACTACCCCAGGATGCTTCCACATTAGTTTCATCTTTCCTGGCCCAGTGGTTCTTGAGAAGAAGATTTTTAAAGATTTTTCCCATATATTCCTATGTAAAACTTTGATCGGCCATTTTTGCCCCACCCTACCCCTGGGGGTCATGATTTGAACAAACGTGAATCTACACTACCTGAGGATGATTCCATATGAGTTTCATCTTTCCTGGCCCAGTGGTTCTTGAGAAGAAGATTTTTTAAAAATGTCATTAATTTTTCTCTAATTCATAATTATCTCCCCTTGGAAAAGGGCGTGGCCCTTCATTTGAACAAATTTGAATCCCCTTTACCCAAGGATACTTTGTAGCAAGTTTGGTTGAAATTGGCCCAGTGGTTCTTGAGAAGAAGATGAAAATGTGAAAAGTTTACAACAACGACAACAACGCCAACGCCAACGACGACAACGACAACGACAGACAACGGACAAATTTTGATCAGAAAAGCTCACTTGAGCCTTTGGCTCAGGTGAGCTAAAAAGCAAATGATAAAAAAAAAAATAGTGTTTTGGCATATTTTTGTAACAAACTTGTGATATATGCAGAAAAAAAGCATTTTGCAGTAGGCCTTATTTTCATTTTCACTGCAATCAAAGGGAAAAACTTCCAAGTGTTCAAATTAAAAACAAACAAAATTGTTCAATTTCTTTTAAACTTGAAAATCATAAATGTCATATCATAAGTAACTCTGGCAAATGAATCACAATTATGTACAAGTATCACAGATCACAATTAAGATTTAAAAATAAGATATGAATAAATGTAGGCATAATTTCAAAATCTTCCAGTCAAGAATTCATTAATTAACACAAAATGATATATACACTCATCACATTAAAATATATCTGTTCTGGTTTTCACGAATAAAGAAAACAAAATTTGTAATAGAAAAAAAACACGATCAAATATTAAATAATAAACAATTTAAGTATCTCCAACATTATAGGCAATCAATTTAATAACTTTATTACACAATATTTCAGACTTGATTTCTGTTAGATAGAATAAGCTTTTTGCTAAGTGATCAAAAAGTTCTCAATATATCCATACCCCATGTTTTACTAAAGCAATATGTGTTTAATAATAAAAAGTCCAATCATTCTAAATGATGTATTTTTATAATCAGTACCAAATTCTGCCTTAATTTCTCAATGTGCAACATCTTTAACTGAGAATAAAAACTTAAGGTTTATGAGAGAAAATATAGCATTTCTTGAAGCTTACGGAAAGTTAACAAGAAGTTGTAGTTACTTTTTTTCCTGCTACCACTAACCACTATACTTTTAAAGTAACATTATCATCCCAAAGAAAGAATGCATCTAAAGCTATTATAATCGTATAAGAACATTAAAATGGACAAAAATTCTAGTTAAACAATACTTTTATTATGAATAACATACATTGTACATAGACAATATGTTCTTTGAATGTATAATTGTATAACACCAGTAGAAAAATAGCCCTGAAGAGACATGCTTCAATTTGGTATATGGAAAAAAACATCCTTAATGGCACTTTAACAGTGTATAACTTTGATTTTACACAATAAATACAAGTAATTTCATAAAAATAACAATTGACACACATTGCATAAATTCTTTTTTCAATTCAGCACCACTTTACATTAAAATGTACAAAATGCAAGCTGATTTACAAATCATAGTCGAGTCTTTGTAATTGAGCGAGTTTTTATAACGGGTGACCTGTTGTCGGGGACTTGGTCCGTGATGAACTTCTGGGTGCAGTTTGAGGAGAGAGGCTGTAAAGGGACAGAGGACTCAGAGTGGATCTATAAAAAAAAAAAGGAATCGGAAAAATAAAGAATTCATATCTCCGCACATTTCACACCATAAAGAAATCGCATCTCACACAGTACGTACCGTACAAGAGGTTTGATTTAATATACATTATAATTTTTTTTTATTTTATTATTGTAAAGATGGCAATTACTTTTTTTTTATTTTGACTTTCAATTTTTAGAGTTCTCCCTTCAACATACACAGCAAAAAAATGGACAAGAATTTTTACCAAGAAGTCTTACTTTAAGTGAAAATCAAAGCAAAAGGCCTATAGGCCCCATTGCTCACCTGTGTAACTATTACCCTGTAAACTGCTGTTTTTCATCAGCTGATTTTTTCCCTTTATAACTGATTAAAACTTGTTTGATTACCAACTGGGGCCCAACCCTACCCATTGGGGATATAATTTGAACACAGTTAAATCAACACTACCTGAGGATGCTTCTATATCACTAAAACTACATTTGGATTTCTTGTTTTTGAGTAGATATTTAAAGATTTATCCAATGCAATTCTGTGTAAAACTTTGATTGCCTGTTGTACATGGTTCCTCCCTACCCCAGGGGTCATGATCTAAAATAACTTTTATGTACATTATGTAATGAAATTTTCCCACAAATTTTATCTTTTGAGCCAGGCATTCTTGATAATAAGATTTTTAAAAAGATATGCTATCAAATTTTACTCATTCTTAATTTTCTCCCCTTGAAAGAGGACATTGCAATTCATTTGAACAAACCTGAATCCTGCTTTGTGGAAAGTGGCTGAAATTGGTTGAGTGGTTCTTGAGAAGTCTAAAATGTGAACAGATTAGAGAAGACATGCTACTGGGACCAAATGTAAAACTGACAGACACGCTTTGACTAGAAAAGCTCACTTGAGCCTTTGGTTCAGGTCAGCTAATAAAATATTTTCAAATCTTGTGATTAAAATCATAAAAATATAATATTCACAGTGCATGATTAATTCTATTGAATTTATTAACTGTTAATTAAGTTTATGCTTCCACCTTTTCCATGCGAAATGCTGCAACAGTGTATCATTAGCAAGATGAGCGATTATACCAACAGACCAGGCTTCATTATATGATAGAAGAATGCAGTGTGCTATTTTTTTCATGATTAGTAACATTTGTTAACATTTTTTTTATGTACAGTGTATCTTTTCATATTTTTTTTTCTAGGCTGTATGCCCAGTAACAGTTTATTCATATACTACTTATTAACGACTTTAACCCTTCTATCTATGTTTTCAATTCTAATTTAATTTATTAGAAGATTTCTTTTGAACACCTAAGTAATAATGTTAATTGATTTAAATTCTATGTCATCTACATGCAATGTCTGAATAGTTTGCAATTTTTCTACTGTACAAGACACAAAACATTATTCATTCTATAATAAATATCAAAACTGTCAAAAATATAACAAAAATCCTTCCATTTCAACAACTTTCAAACTGTAAACAACTACTAGTTCTTAATTTGTCCGTTTAAATTTTTAATAAAAAACATTATATATCTCCCACAACAGCAAGGAAATGAAAAGTAAATAAAGATTCTTAGTGTCATTGTTTTAGCAGTCCCTATGTCTTCTAAAACAAAGACATGCAACATTTCACATTGACGTCAAGACTTACCTATAATGGCCGTCTGTTTGCAAGCCGCGTAAAAAGAAATATTCTGATGTAATTTAATCTTGATAAGACATGGCGAGTTAAATGGATTGTTTTTTTTGTGATAAAAGAAAAGCATGGAACTTAAAATACAGTATGGGAAAAATTCACAATCTACAGGCCAAAAAGTAAAATGTCCAAGAAAAATAAAATAATCTACAGATTACAATTATGTTGTACATGTACTATGAGGTATATGATATTCTATGGTTTCATTCTTTCAAATTCAAGACAATTACCGATATCATTGCTTCTTATCATTGCTACAAATATCAGTTTATTTATTGTTTTGTCTTTGAAAAATCTGAACAAAATTAGAAATAATAATAAGCTATATAAAGATCTATGTAAATAATACATATAACTCCAAAATATGCTTATACTAATAAATGGTTGGTTTGCAAAAGAAAAATAAATGTTTGCTGATCATATTTTTTTTAATTTACTTGGTTATAACTCAGGTTCTAACATGTTGTTCATCCAAAAAAAAGTCATTGCTATTAAATTTTTTGGTACATCTATAATAGTTTAATCTGGAAGGATGCATGTACATGTATATCATTCATGCATGAATGCATTCTGGATATTTTACATATTTTGATAAATATCTACCGGTAAATAAAGATCAATACTTAAGGTCAGGGTCAAATAAAGGATCAATGTCATTTCATTAAGAAACCAAATCCCTAAAAGACTGAGTCAAGTATAAATAAAAATAAAATTTAGGATTTAAATGGGTGAAGTTTGTATACTCGCAAGAAATGAGGGATATGGGATGAAAGTATAAGGATGTGTTTAACACTATAAATTAAAATTAAGAATTCCTAAGAGCTTTAAGTATATGAAACAATTAGTTTGTGTAGAAAACATCTAAAGCTACATTAACAAAGCACACGTGGCATTATACAAGGTGCTGTGATTCGTCTACCTCCATTAGTTCAAATTATTACAACACAATGCAGAAGTATACCTAAAAATCCTCAGCTAACTCCACCTGTGACAGAGTCAATTTTCCTGAACGCTTAGAGAAAGAGACACTAAGCTTATTGGCTGGCAGGTTCTACAATTTAATGGCACAAGACGCACAGTGTTAGGACAAATTCCAAATAAACTTAAGGTATGTTGCACTTTTTATAATTTAATCAAAATTGCAATATAGTTTAGCAACATACGTTTAAGGTACGTTGCACTTTTTTAAAACCACTAGTTCTTATAATTTTTCAAAACTGCAATATAGTTTACTTGATCATACATGTTCTCTGGCTGTGATAACAAAAATCACATGTGAATGTCAGTAAATGTTCCAATAATAATCAGGCATCTCAGTATTCTACTATCACAATGATTACAGGGATATATGTTTCAAGAAAAAAAAATGCAGCATACATTGGTAATAAAAGACAATTAAAGCATTGCATTTACCTGATAAAAAAAACATAATCCTCAAAATACAAGCACAGTTGTACTTGTAAGACCATGCATTTAATAAATTTTCCATTTCTAATCAGCTAGGTCTTAACAGTCTTGCAGAAAAATATTTTTCTATGCAATTGTCCTAAGAAAAAAAATCTTTAAATAGTGAATGTCTCAATAGCAGATCTAGAGGACTGCAATTCCTTAATGGCATTGCAGGCATATAAGCCCCTTCCCTATGTGTGTTAACTCATACATAAACCTCTAGTCTAATACAAGTAGATATAAATTTTGCACCGACTATGCTGTTAGGACAACCCATTGCAAAGAAACAAATTTTGCACCTGAAGAAGTTAAAATTGCTCTCTGAGCAAAATGCCAACTCAGGTCTCCCAAAATCCTAGAAACCCCCTCCCCTCCCCAACCCCCAATCCATGATTATTCTGCTGAATTATAGCTATGGTCAATACCTGACATTTTTTGTACTTGTAAAATATGCCACAATTCTTTTTCTTTTCTTGCGTGTTCTATCAATCAGACAATCTGAATGTTGTACTGGAAACAGGATATTATTTAATCTCAGACATATTATTTGAAATAAACTTCCCTCAAGTATCTCTTTAGCAATTTTTTTTTAATTCTCTGGTTAACAGTTAACTACATGCAAGCACAGTGTGTTAGTTAAGTACTGTAAAATAAGTAAATTTTGTAGGTCAACAAACAGCAACATTCTGCTACTTGAATCTTTTCAAAAACGGGGGAGTCAATTCCATTTCCTGCAATTATGGTATTTTATAGTTAGGACTGGTCATCAAAATTTTCAAAACAATTTTATAACTCAAAGCAACTACATACATTACCCATCAATATGCATTTCAGATTACAGTTCTGAACATTTTAAACAATGGAATTTTAACTGAAAAGGACTTTTAGGGCATATATCATATTAGGCAAGATTTTGGAATATGCAACATTCAGATTAAACAAGTTTCACTGTATATTTATTTTTCTAGAACAAGCAGGTATAAAGTAATAGCTTTGGTGATTATTGGGATTCATCAATATGCATTTTGTATTTTTGCTCTGTGAAAATTAAGTTTTTAAAAAGTTTGCAAAAAAGCATAGGCAAGTCTATACAATGATTTTCAAATATTTTGCTGATTCATATGGCTTTTGCTTCATTATTTTAGTACAAGACAAATAAGCTTATATCTGAATATAAGGCAAAATACAAGTAGGAACAGGTAAATAGTGTCAGACTTACTCTTTTACCAAAGATGAAAGGGAAACACATGACCCATGAAAATTTCCTCTGTAATGCATACATGACATTTATGATCTTGATAATTTTATCTCTATCTAAATTGTCCTTTCATAATTTTCAAATACATGTAAAAGCTTTACTTCATAAAACTATAGTTTAATGATAAGATTCTCTCATTCTATAATTTTGTGGGTTCATGTTTTGCAGGAATTTTTGCCACAACCTTTCTACAAATTGATGAAGTGAGCCAAAATGAAATCATGAAATTTATTCCTAAACAGAAGAGGCCCATGGGCCAAAATGCTTGCCTGAATCAAATGGCTTTCATCCTCTCCTAAATAATTTGTAATGAGACTAACATGTATAGTGGGGCCTAATCATATCTAAAAACGTTTGAAAACCTTGACCTTAAAACAATTAAGGTTCAGCTGATAGATAATTTTTTTCCAAACTTCCTGCTTTTAAACAAACCTTATAAAGTTCAACAAGTGTATTGACAAAATAACCATAACACAGGAATATAACATTGAACAAAACACCCTGTAAAACATTTACTCAGTTTGTACAAAAAAAAACAATTGCATATTAATCATGCACATGCACCAACAATTTATTTCAACTCAGTCAGGAGGATAAATATATTACTAGTAATTCGTACGCAATTGCATAAATACATTTAAATGTGCAATGGACATATTCCACCTACCAACTAAAGAAACCAAAATATCTTTTACAAAAATACGACTTAGCTTTTTCACTGAATAACCTGGTCAATTAAGGGAAACAAATTGATAATTTGGCCTCAATTTTCCATCTGTTAACAAGGGAATGTGCTGTATGGAGTGCTGGTAAATACTAAGCAGTGGCGGAAACACGTATACATGTACTGCAATTTATTTAATGCAATAAACTATTCCTTGTCAAAGAGAGTCGATACAACAAGATATTAAACTTGAATTTGCCTAGGTAACCATCCATAAATTTGATATAAATGGCCAGTGTAAATGTAGGGCATGCGCATACACGTATATTTTAACATTATAGTGTAGATGCTTCAATGTATGATACATATTAGGGATTTAAAGTCCCAAATTTTGATGGAGATATATTTAATTAAGTTCTTAAACAGTATATGCTGACTTCAAAGCACTGAACTCTTGCTGTATAGGCTTTTACAGAAAAATGTACATATTTCGTCATATTTTGAAACTGTGTGTTCAGGATCACATTTTAGATATGTTTTTCCTGAACAAACTTGCGCTCTATAAATTTTATGGCTAAAATTGTTGAAATTTTGTCAATTTTTTTCTTTTTTTCTAAAATATGATATAAATTCGGATAAGTTTGTGACGTCATAAAAACAAAAATTGTGAATATTATAATATTTTCTGTTAAATTTTCAATACAATTTATTGAATTCAGCAATTTCAAAAATATGACTTTTGTGTATATGCAATATACCGTTGTAAAGCAATTAATAGTTTTATTTTATTTTTGTGTAGTATCAGCCCCTTTCAACCCCCGAAAAAAGTATATCAAATTTTCTATATTATATGTATGGAAACTGTCTAAAGACTTTGCAAGGAGCATACTGTTAAACTGAAAAAGCACTTATACATAACCTTCAATCAGTTTACATCAAAATAACAAACGTAGCTCATGCTGTCCAAATATTTAGCTTACTTAGGCAATGGGGTTAAAGTTCAATATATTATTTCTAAAGTATAAATCTGTCCTTCAATATTTCTCTTTCTCTAAATTAGATCTGAAGTGCCAACAATATACTGTGAAATCAATTATTTTCCAGTGGGTTTAATTTGTTTTCGTGCTGTGGTATGAAGAGTCAGATATTCATGTCAATCACAAAATGTAAAATTTTAAACACACCCAGTAGACGGTATTTTTTTTTTGTAGTTTTTTTTTTTTGGCATGTTGCAAAGTTTGCGAAAAAGGGTATTTTGTTAAAATCATATTTGGGGGAAGTTATTTTTTGCCATTATAAACTTTTTTTGAAAAAAAAAAAAAACGTTACTATTTTATGGCAAACAATAACTGATATTATCTCTGAGTGTTATTTTTTGCAAATAAAAAATGATAGCAAAAATGCAAAAAAAAAAAGAAGATCATTGGAGGAAAAAACAGTTACAACTAAACTCTTCTCCAACCATGACCATGATATCAGATCCAAATTAACCAAATATTGTTTTCTCAAAAAAAAAAAAAAATGTGATTTAATAGGTCTTTGAACTATTTTTCACATCAATATTTTAAATATCTGACCAAACTAAAGTATGTGAGTTATTTCTTTCAATCATTGCCTTTGTGATTGCATGTATATTAGGGTTTTAGTAGAGAGTATATATATCATAATTATATACCATACATACAAAAACACATACAAAGGAGGAAAAGAATATTCCAAAAGTTGTATGAGTATATATTAACATTAGAAATATATACATGTAGTTTGTTGCACATGTAGATATATTCTCTGTCATCTACTTTGTCAAATCAAGTGATATATACAGATAATCTTGTTCTGATCTGTAAGAGCTAGCTAGGTTTCCAATACGTAACAATAAATTAGTGCAATTATACATTCATAGATCAAATATTAATTATATCAACCTTAAAAGATGCAAATAACATCACAGGTTATTACACAGAAGAAATCCCCTTGAACAATAAACTATTTCCCTCAAGTGACTAGTATTGTGGAAAAGTCATGCTCAGCCATAAAAATTAACTGTTACAATCAGGCGAAAGTGACATAAGGACAAATTACTCGGAAAAAAAACTTACAAAAATATTTTTTTAATCCAAACTTAGATAACATACATTGAACATCTTCTGTAAAAGAGAGATCCATGGTTTCCTTTTAATTTCTTAAAATATATTTCCAAGAATTGAAAACATACTTTATTATTCAGATGACTTTTTTTCAACTTAAAGTGTGAAATAGCTGTACAGAGACTGAAGCATTTTTGCATTGAAAAATCCTTGTATGAAATACAGCACCTACTTGTAAGGAAACACTTTTTTTATTCAGTATTGTACAAACTTAAGAAATATTTTGCTCAAAAATTTCCTTTCAAATATTCTCTTTAACCTTGATTCTTTTCAAAACAATTACAAACAAATCCTCTCTTTTTTTCCATCTTTTTTGGAAAATTAAAAATGTTTTGTTTAATAAAATATACAACCTACAATGAATGTTACGAAAAAATTTTCAACATATTACATACTTGTGCCATGCAATAACATATCACTCTAGCAACTACAAAATAACAAAAATAAAGGAGATTGGTATATAATATTGACCTACCCTCCTCTTGGTGGACTCCGTTATTTTTTTGCCCGTGTCTCGGGCCACTCGTATGATGATGTCGGGAAACAGAGCTATGACAGCTAGCACCACAATACATAACCACACCGTCCCACAGCCCAAGCTGGTGGTGTACACTTTATAATAATCCTGGAGGGTCTGTATCAGGGGTCTGTAGGTGATTAGAATGATAATGTTCGCATGAAGCAGCTTGTACATTTTTTAAATTGAATTTTATTTGAATATGTTATATAATTGTTATATAGTACATGTAAATCATAAAGTATAATCTAAGATTCATTCACACCACACTTTGCCCCCCCCCCCCCCCCCCCCCCCCCCCCCCCCCCCCCCCGCCAAAAAAAAAAGTAAACCCTAATTTCAGGAAAGATGCAACATAAATCGATCATTCTGATCATTCTTTATCTGATACAATAGCATGTTGTTACTTTTAGTGAAAGAGAACAAAAAAATGCAGACATATCGTTAGGTGATATATGATTACTTACGGCCAGAAAATCATTGTGTAGACAAGAGTCATGCTTATATTGCCCACACCTGATATGACGTAAGCCAGGAACATAGGAAGAGGCCAGAAATAGGTCTCTAAACACAGCTGCAAAATAAAAGGAATTCATTATTATAATGAAATAAATAGTGTGCAAGCTCACATACCCCACACTCTCCCCAAACTTGACAATGCAAGTTGACACATAATGAATGGCATGGATGCACAGTGTACTTTTAATACACAGTACAATGCAAAAAGGGGGCATTACTTGCAAAAAAATCATCACATCAAAACTTCTTGCATATATATATAATTCAAGATTTCACTGACTCCATACCTTTAGATTAACTGTAATAACACAAACTGTGTAAGCTATTGTGCCAAAACTCCAAATACCCATCATCTACAAAAACAATTCAAACAAATGTCAGTGAGATAGTCATCACAACAGGAACAATATCAAGGCTTCTTGTCTAATATTGCATACAATCATACAAACTATTTGCCTACAAAGATACCACTGTTTTAAGTTTGTTCATAGTAACTCTTATAATATAGCTTTGAAAGTTGGTTGACGGTAGGACTTACTTGTAATAGTTGTATTAGTTGCTTCATTGCCATTATGGCTTATGGTATATAACAGATAGAAATGTTTGTTCATGGTAAGACTTAAAACATTTTAAGAATTTATTCATAGTAAGACTTAATATGAGCTATAAAAAATGTTCATGGTAGGACTTGCAATAAAGATCACTGTCATTGCATGTTTAAAGTTTCTTTCAACTCTAAGTGATCTAAAATGACAAATTCCTAGATTTTCTCCCCCATTTTCATCACAAGTTGTGTAAGTGCAATCCTTACATTTTTTCTAATTATCATGATAATTAGTAAAATTTCCTACCTTTCCATTTGGCCACAATGGAACATCATTTCCAAATAAAAATACAACACCAAAGAAAAACACAAAAACATGCCATAATCCTACAATGAAAATAGATGATAATAAATGTAACACAATTTCTCTATCTGTTGTAAGCCTACACACTGATAACTTTTCATTGTGAAAAACTAAGATATGAACAAGCAATGTAAAAATTATTGTATCGCTACTGAATCCATATAAAAAGGGTGTCATGCAATAGTGGTAATAAAAGTACCATTTATATCTATTTCGAGTTTGAAAAGCCTTTCAAAACCACTTCAAAACATTTTTTATCAATTTACATGAATGGTAAACATTTTTTAAGGACATAATTATGTTAAAAATACTTTTTATGCATAGCATGTCTCTGAATAAAGGATGGGAATTAAGTTAACAATATACATGAGTCACTGGGTTTTTATGTGATTTGTTGCAGATCAAAATGTGATCAAAACAAAGAAAACAAGTGTCTACATCCAAAATGGAGTAAAGTGTGAAAAATCTCAAGTTGGGCAAATGAGTTACAAAAAAAAATCAATCAGATACATGCATCTGTTTGGTGTAAATTACTGAACTAAAGGTCAAATGAATGTAAGGCATTCTCATGTTACTTAGATCTGTGATTTGCAAATTAATTTTCTTGCAGGAAAACTTTCACATTTTGTGCAAGTTTACTTTTCAAATCTTTAAGTTAAAATGGGGTGGTGTAGTAGGGGAAAATTTATTTATGGTTCTGACATCAATGGAGAATTACATTTTAGTCTTTGAATGATTGGGTCTCAGAGTATCAGGATTTTACCTTTTGATTTTACACTGCAGAAAATTGAGAAAAAAAAGAGAAAAAAAAACTTTTTGTAAAATGATTTCAGATTTTTAAAATAGTTGTATTCTGCTTGCTCTCTTTTCACTGGTCTTAAAAGTTTTATTTATAAAATAATGAAAGAAATTATAACATGAAATACATTTTTGGACATTTAAATTAAGATGAATAATTTGTTAATTACACAAGTAGTTTTTAAATATATATATACAAACCTAATGCATTCCATTTAAGGAAATTTTTCTTGTTTAACATTTTATTTTTTGTAATTTCTCTGAAATTAAAAAAAAAACATTATATTAAAGAATTTAGTCTTCTTCAAGAATGCTAAGACTGAATTTAAAGTAAATCATAGAATTTTTTTATTCTTTCTATAAGATTTATGGGAAATCATCAAACAAAAACACAGAATATTTAGTCTAACTTCAAACAAGTTTACAGTTTTATCAATGAACAAGGATATTAGTTAGCTTTCACTTGTTTTCAAACCGAACATCTTCAAAAATAAACAAGATGTGTTTGTGAAACACTATGTGCCCGGTGGCAACAAAGTTCAAAAAACTATTTTTAGCATATAGGTCACAGTCAAGGTCAAAAGGTCATTGGCCTTGGTGTCATTTGAAAGAGCTTAATTAGTATTGCATGCATACCAAATATGATGTCTCTATTTCTTATGGTTCAAAAGTTATGGCCAAATTTCGAAAAAGCTATTTTTAGCATATAGGTCACAGTCAAGGTCAAAAGGTCAATGACCTTGGTGCCAATTAAAAGAGCTTCATCAGTGGAGTAAGCATACCAAATATGAAGTCTTTATCTTTCATCGTTCAATAGTTATTGCAAAAATTCGAAAAAGCTATTTTTAGGATATAGGTCACAGTCAAGGTCATAAGGTCATTGACCTTGGTGTCATTTGAAAGAACTTTTTTAGTGGAGTATGCATGCCTAATATGAAGTCTGTATCTCTCATGGTTTACACAGACAAACAGACAGGACAAAAACAATATACGCCTCGGTATAATTGATTTTTCTCTTTGCGCATAAATATTGGTTTTTAATCAATATACAAATGCATGGGATTCTTTTAGTAAACTCTCAGTTAAAAGTATATAGTGTACATGTATACATACTTTTTATTACTCTTTATGTTAATATTTCAGTTTTATTAAATTCTAAAACTTTTTTTAATCTTTGAGCTCCTGTATAAGTTTTTTTTTCTTTTTAAGTCTTTGCATGATCATCTTACTTGTATAGTTGAGGTTTTTCGATGAGATCTCGTTGTGATATGTGCTGCTCAAACAGGCTGTATATGAAGATCGGCAGTGAGGTCATGGTGATGTTATAAAACATGAGATGAAAGCTTGCCAGAAGGGACTGTGAAATAAAACATAAAAAATTAAAATACTGTATACTTTTTCCCAAGGGGCCATAATTTCGCAGAATCTTTATTTCTGTTCAATCCGCTGGTAGGAAATTACGTGGATAACTTAAGATTCTCATTATATGCCTTATATGTTTATTGAGTTCGATGGGGCAAATTTTTTGTGGAAAGTTTTTTACCGCGTACATAGCATAAATTAATACCATGCGGAAAAAAGTACTTCTACAGTATATATAGCATCAACTCTAGTACTAAAATACAACAGACACAATCAATCTTGAAAAAAAAATTTTAAAATATGAATACTCCTAATCTGAAAAGACTTCCAAGAAATTAGTTTAATATTTACCCTGGTTCTTTATAGATCAAGAAAAAATTCGAGGGCAAATGCTTTCATCATGTTCATTATTTCAACAACAACAAAAATAATTGACATTATAATTAGAGAGCTTACCTGTTGTGAAAATGATGAATAAAAAGCAAAGAATAACTGCATGGTGATAAAGGCTACATTCTACAATACAAAATAAATGCTATAAGTGCAAGAACAGTACTTAAAATTTGTAAATGTTTTTGGAAGCAAGGTATTTTCTTTCATAGCTTGTTTTTAAAACACTTTCAATTTATTGCCAACACAAAGAAAATAAGCTATAATTCATAAAAGTACTTCAATATTCTTGGAAAATTAATCGTCTAATTTTTTTTTAAAGATCTGTATATTAAGTATACATTAGGCTGAAGTATTTGCAATGAGAGCTTACTTTATAAAAGAAATATTGGACTAGAGTTGCAAGTCGGTAATAAAAATAATGGCCATGGACCAAAAGAAGTCGTTGTAAAAAACGGAACTTGGCGAATGCATAGTCGCTGTTACGGACCGCCTGTCTTCCTTCTTTACCCATGATTCCTAGCAAGATAAATAGTTATCAATGGCGATGAAATTTCCTATCAAACATTAGCCAAGTTAAAACAGCTTTGTCCATGTAATGAATAGAAATCTTGTTTTAAATAATTATGAAATACTCTTGGATAACTCTATTTCAGAACATTTCAATTAAAATAAAATATTATGCTTTTACTGTATTTTTTATTTGATAATAAAAGCAAATTTAAGCCAGAATTAAAAATTAAACATGCACATTAAACTTGAATGAAATGGATATTACTTGCTTGCATACATCCAGTGTGTGTGTAACAGAGTTACTGTACTTTACCTAATTTTTCAAAGACCTCCTGAAAAAATCACTACCTAATCCTACCTGGGCTTCCTGAATCATACAATACTTAATCGTACAAGGGTTTCCTGAATCATACACACCCAATACTATATGGGCCTCCTGATTCATTCAGTAACTAATCCTACACACACTACTTGATCCTATATGGGCCTACTGAATCATACAATACCTAATCCCACATGGGCCTCTTAAATCATACAATTTTTTGATCCTACATAGGCTTCCTGAATTATACACAACCTAATCTTATATAGACCTCCTAGATCATACAATACCTAATCCCACTTTGACCTCCTGAATCATACAATATTTATTCCTACATGACCCTCCTGAATCATACAATACCTGATCCTACAAAGGCTTCCTGAATCATACAATATCTAATTCCAATGCAATGCCCTCCTGCATCATACCTCATCCTAAATAGGATTCCTGAAACATAAATAATACCTAATCCCAAATGGGCCTCCTGAATCACATCTCATCCTACATACGATTCCTGAAAAATATAATACATGTACCTAATCCCGAATGGGCCTCTTAAATCATACCTAATCCTACATTGGATTCTTGAAAAATGGAATACCTAATCCCAAATGGGCCTCCTACCTTATACCTAATCCTACATGGGCCTCTTGAATCATACAATATTTAATCCTACATGGGCCTCCAGAATCATACTTAAACCTATATAGGCCTTCTGATTCATACATCACCTAATCCTACATGATCTTCCTGAATCATACCTAATCCTACATGGGCCTCCTGAATCATGCTGACATCATTAGCACCGTCTCCAATGGCTGCTGTTACTGGGGTGTGCTTAGCAATCTTCATCAGCTTCACAACCTAAACCAAAAACGGAGACGTGTGTTTTAAATACATGTAAATATGGCAAGGCATGCTGCAGGTTCCATTTATGTTGTAGACTCTAGTGAAGTGCTTACACTTAACAGTTTATCATTATAATCATAATATACTACAATATCTTTAGAATATTTCGTTAATTCCAGCTATTGTGATGTTTGTGTTTTGGGATATTTTAACCTTCATTCTGTTTCCTGTCATTTCATCTTAACCAATATGGAAAAATGTAAATGGGTATTTTACTACATTAAAATCCTCACTTTACTTCATATATTAGTTTTCATCCTAATCTCCCATCTGATTTACCTCAGCTTTCTGTAGTGGAGACATCCTACAACATAACACTGCCCCACACATCTGACACAACTCCCGGAACACTTCACTGTGTTCACCCAGGGCAAAGGTCAAACTGAAGCCATCTACGATCAATACAAACTGCTGATTGGAGGAATTCAAAACTTGACATCTGAAAAAAAGGTCAAAAGGTCAAATTAATCTTAGGCTTATATACATTTCAGAATTCTCAACACTGCTGAAAATATATTAACATGATATTGCTTTCAAATAATAAACAAAAACCTTTTCATTTCAAATTTCAAACATTCCTTCCTTTTCAAACATTCCTAAAACAGAAGTTCAAGGGACTAAGAACTGATTTGTTACAAATATACCGGTAAATCAAATGTTTCTGTTAAATTTATACACAGAATACCATTGAAAACTATCAGGAATGAAAATCACACTGCTGTAAGCAAAAATTCACCACATCTTTCTGTTAACTAGCTGTTTCATTCAACCTAAACTGCAAATAGGATGTCAGGAATTTCCCTGACAGTTTCCCTCCTGTGGGGTTTATATTCAAATTCCTAATTTTTTAAAATACCTGTGGATATTTTTGGTGATCTCCTCTCCACATGTTGTGTGGTCGGTACACGAGGCCTTTGTCAGTCGTAATTCCTCCATTCCGTCGTGGATGTGACCGGCCGAGTAACTGATGTTGACAGCGGTTTCTTCCTTGTCACCAGTTAGCACCCAAACCTTCAATATACACACAAAATATGGGTGTCTGAAATGATGCTGTTCAACCAGTACCATGACATTTTGTTCTGTAAGCTTTAACAATTAAGTTGGAACCTAGTGTGCTCTCTGCACTATCTTCATTATTCTCTACAATGCCCTAGCGTCTAATCTTTAAATTAAGACACATACACTCTTTCCTAAACAGAGTTGTATAGTCTAGTCTCCAAGACTTCTGCAGACTAATGTAGCCATTTTGACACTACCCTTAAACTTGGTCTCAACACTACCTTAACTTCTCTTCCATGGTGAGTAAGTCTCTAAACCTTTCTGCATATCCTAGTATTCATATTTACTCTAAGTACACCACATTTTATCCTACCCTTGTATCCTTGTAGTTCTCTTTTCTACGATATGTAAACTATTTCCTCTGCTACCCATTGAGGCACTAGACATTACACTACCATGTGAATACTATTCTCCCAGATTCTATATCAACTGGTGTCTTCATTACCTTGATGCCAGCTCTGCGTAGAGTGGTGATGGTCTCGGGGACACCGTCCTGAAGTCTGTCCTCCACCGCGGTGGCGCCCAGTATGTGGAGGTCTCTCTCTATTGCCTGGAAGGCCTCCTCCAGCTAGAAAAACAAGCATTGAACCGTTATACCAATACAAAAGTACACTGTTTTTTATATACAGTATAAAAAATCAGCTGCTTCATCTCAAAGGTAAATTTTTCGTATTAAAATATTCCAATGAAGAGCACATATCCATGTTTTCTTTGTTTCATTTTTGCCCCTTTTGAATTTAGAATGGGGGCGAACGCAAAGAACACAGTAAAATTTCTTAAAAAGAACTGTAACTTGGACAATTTAAAATGAAGAAAAATTATTTGCAAGAATCAAAAAGTGAAAATAACCCTGTATACAGTATTTACAGTATATGTGGAATAACTTAAGTGTCAATTAAATATACCTTTTCTTCTCGTTTATCCATGGCACTCCTAGCCTCGGTCAATATGGTATCCACTTTTTCATATTCTTTTGGTGTAAAAACCCTTTTACCTAAGGCCAATGTTCTTAGACCAAGCTGCAATTTCAGAGATTCTAAACTGAATGAAACTGAAACTGAATGAAAGTTAAGGTTTCTTGCAAAACTTCAGAGACAGAACTGAAGAGAATGGCCAATGAACTGTTTAATACACAACTAAACCACAGCTTTAGATTTAATGTTTCTTGTGTACTCACCACAGCGTAGTCATGTATGTGTTGATTGGTTTTGTCAATCTCCCCCGATATCCCAAGCTTAAGGACGGCCGTCTCAGCCCCTTTACACAATAGCACTATTTCATCTGTCCAAAGAAAAAATTAAAATAATTCAGTACCAGTGTTTTTTTCGCATATAAAAGTTTCATAGAATGCCCCTCTGCATAAGCAAACACAAGAACAAGTTTTCTTCACAACAACAGAAGTGCTACATGGTTTTTTAAGCACATCGTTGTAAATTATTTTGCATTAAGTCAACTACATGTATCTATGAACAAACTATATAAAGCTAACTGATAAAACATTGATTCAGTGATCCCATTCAATGACTAATCCCATTCCACAATTAATCCAATTTACTAATTAATCCAATTCAACGATTTAAAATGAGAGACAATACGAACAAACCATTTTCTCTCTGGACAATGACACTCATCCTCTTCCGTGTGGCGTCAAACTCCAGAACGTGAAGCAGTTTATACCGCCTCATCTCCCCATGGAATGTCACCTCTAAATGGTCCTCTCTCGTACCATGGAACACCACCCCATACCTAAATTTAAGACAAAATGTTAACAGAGAATTGACGTTTGCTGTATACAGGGTTATTTTCACCCCACTTTACATGTATTTTCGCACTTTCAACCTTGCAAATAATTTTGCCCGTCTTAAATTCGCCCAGTTACACTTTTATTTCAGAAATTATACTGTATTTTTTTTTAAAACGCCCCATTTTTAAATTCGACCATCCAAGGCTAGGCAAAAGGAGCGAAAATAAAATGGGAGCAAAAATTTCCAAGTATACAGTATTTCAAAATTTTAAAAATGGAGAAATTTTTTTTTTAAATTTCTGTTTTTTGCCAAAGATGAAACTTAAATAAACTAGTGCTAATTGTAACGGGGACCGTTACAGATGTTCCCCAAACGCTCCCCAACTCTCTTTTTGTGCCATATTACCTGTAAGCTTCATTAAATAAGACAAACTCTATGTATTTGAGACTTTAACAACATTTACTCGGAAGTGTACGAAGTTCATTCAAATTTTAGCATTGCATGCGTGCGCATGCGAATGCCTGTGCGTAATGACCATATCATTTTGTCTACACAATCCATATATTTTAATATACTAAGAATTTAAGTATTTAATCCAAAAGTAATAAAAAATACGCTCATTCAAGTGTATTTTTGATTTTGTTCATTTCACGTGCACGCACGTGCATACATGAGCACGGTGACCATACCTTCTTGTAGAAGTCCATTACATCTATCTATGTTCTAAATCCCACCCCATATGGTTGAAAACCAAGGGCGTTATACCTGTTAAAAGTTTCAGCCAATCAGATTGCAGCGCACGTACACGCACGTGTATGCATGTGCATGGTGACCATACCTTTCTTGTAGTAGTCCATTATATCTATCTATGTTCCAAATCCCACCCTGTTTGGTTTGAAACCAAGGGAGTTATAGCAGTTTAAAGTTTCAGCCAATCAGATTGCAGCGCACGTACACGCACGTGTATCCATGTGCATGGTGACCATACCTTCTTATAGTAGTTCATTATATCTATCTATGTTTCAAATCCCATCCTCTTTGGTTGAAAACCAAATGAGTTATAGCTATTTAAAGTTTAAGCCAATCAGATTGCAGCGCACGTGCATGCACGTGTTTTCATGATAATTGCTATACATCATATTGTAGGATATCCTAAAGCATGGCTATGTTCAAAATTTCAAAGCAATTCGTCAAAAAACAAAAAAGATATTGATATTTTTGTTTCAGCCAATCAGAGCGAAGCGCACGTGCATGCGCGTGAGATCTTGCTATTTTGACCATGTCATATTGTCTATGCTACTAATGTATCCTTATATTATGAGTTCTAAAGCATTTCATCAAAAATTTAAAAAGTTACATCTATATCAATTAAATCGGTCATTTATCATATTGCACGTGCGCGCTCTTGCAAGCACGTGCGCGCAAAATGACCTTCGTTCCGCAAATCTACATTACATGTCTACTGACCCTAAAAACATTTCACCTTAGTCTGATGTGTAGTTTACAAGATCACTCGCGGACAAAATTTTCCCAGGAAGAAAAATAATAAGAATAATAATAATAAGAAACAAAGTAAAAACAATATGTTCCCCAACTTCGTTTGGGGAACATAACAAGCAAGAACTAAGATATATTTATATAAAAGATATCTTTCATGACATTTTAAATTCACTAAAATTACACCTTTTTTTATTTATAAATCGTTAACTTTCTGAATTGTTCTTTGATGTATCAAAAACTTCATATATACCTGACCGTTTATTTTCCAACATAATAATATACGTTAATCTATATGAATAAAAAAATTCCCATTTTACCTGCGGCAGGCCTCCACAAAAGCCTTCTCATCTGGGGAGGAGGACTGGTACTCATACCCTATCCCTGTGTGACTATAGAGGGCAGATGCCCCCGTCTGTGTGGCCTCATGGTGGTCCACCCTGACCGTGTGACAAAGGGCAAGTAACTCCAGAAACTCTTCTATATCAGGCTATCGGTAGATGACAAAATGTTCAGTGAGATTTGTAAGACAATACTCTACTGAAGTATATTTTAAAGATTCATACTTCAGAAAATTATAAATTAATAATATATACCAATAGCAATGTATGTCAATGCACTTTCTATCTTTAAATTGATTGATTCTTCCTACCATTTATTCTGAAAGCTAACCATGAATTATTAAGTGATATTTTTAATTTTCTCACTGTAAGTCTCAGTACAGGAGTACTCTGTCCACCTTGTGTAGCCATTTCATGTAAATGTCCGCCGACCTCTTCATACTTAATTGCGTTGATTGAACACTGTCGGAACTGCATGTCGTTCTCTGTTAGCGTGCCTGTCTTATCCGTAAACAGGTACTCCACCTTAACATAAAGCAAAGATGTTGCATTCACTAATGCCCTCATACAGATAGCCTTTCACAGTTGAAAAATTTGATTAAAAAAATTTAAAAGGCATCTCTGTGTAAGCTTTCACTATTTAATTTGAATATTAGCCAGATAATGCTTCGAAAGATATATCAATCTGTGTCTGATGGATAAGTATTTAGTGTACAACATGTCAAATCAAAAAGGGATTCAAAGGAAAGGCTTGGGCTATTGAGAGTACTGAAATGACTGGAAGACAATAAAGGAATATATTATTTTAGTTTCTAATATTGCAGATCTTATTTCAAACAATTTTTCATTGTGTTATAAACACATTAATGAATCATGCCATAAGTAATGCCTATGTAAGCCCCTTCGATAATTGTTTTGTGATTATAAATAACGAGTCTACTCACCTGACCCAGTTCCTTATTAAGGTCTGAGGTATTAGCCTGAGTGGCCAAGTTTGAGTGTACTCACCAGAGTGTACTCACTGGACCCAGTTCTTTGTTAAGGTCTGAAATATTAGCCTGAATGGATGAGTTTGCAAGTACTCACCTGACCCAGTTCCTCGTTGAGGTCCAACGTATTAGCCTGAACGGCTGAGTTTGAATGTACTCACCTGACCCAGTTCCTCATTAAGGTCGGACATATTAGCCTGAATGGCAGAGTTTGAGTGTACTCACCTGACCCAGTTCCTCCTCAAGGTCAGATTATTAGCCTGAATGGCAGATTGAGTGCACTCACCTGACCCAGTTCCTCGTTTAGGTCAGATGTATTAGCCTGAGTGGCTGAGTCTGAGTTTTCATCATACATCTCCAGGTCCCAATGTAAATACAGAGTTTGCAAGTACTCACCTGACCCAGTTCCTCGTTCAGGTTGGACATATTGAGTCTGAGTGTACTCACCTGACCCAGTTCTTCGTTAAGGTCAGAGGTATTGAGTCTGAGTATACTCACCTGACCCAGTTCCTCGTTAAGGTCGGAAGTATTAGCCTGAGTGGCTGAGTCCGAGTCTTCATCATACATCTCCAGGTCCCAATGTAAATACAGGGAGCCCACAAACTTCTGTACTTCTGTAAATAAACAGGAATATATTGTACAAAGCACCTGTAATCAATTAAAATTATAAAAAATAAAGACCCCCCGGAAAAAAAAAATCAACTAACCAGTACCATCTTTTTAAAACAAGAATTTCTTCTATCACAGGCAAAATTTAATGTCTGCTATACAGTTTTAAAAGAAATTCTTTTCAAATAATAATTTTAAAGCATTTTATTTTTGAAACATTTTTATAACATCATTTGCCAGTCTGACTTGACTTACCTACAGTTACATACAAAGAAATAGGAATGATATAGTTGTATAAAATCATGATTATGGACAGGAAATGATATTTTTTATAATAATTTTTAGCCTGAAAAATACCTGCTTTCAGAATATACATACATCAGTATATACAAAAATAACAAGAAATAGCCTCAAAAAAATTGAAATCTTAATATCATTTAAAATGCTTAAAATCTTTGCCATATATATTGGCTTCAATAACCAGTACCATCTTTTTAAAACAAGAATCTTTCATGTTTAATGTCTGCTATCACATTTTAAAAGAAATTCTTTTCAAATAATAATTTTAAAGCATTTTATTTTTGAAACATTTTTATAACATCATTTGCCAGTCTGACTTGACTTACCTACAGTTACATACAAAGAAATAGGAATGATATAGTTGTATAAAATCCCCCTTTTTAGCTTTTTAATCTGATAAAATAGCCTCAAATTGTAAAAACAGATATACATGGTGAAAAAATGTTTTTTCCTAACTTTTTTATTTAACGTCATATTCTATCCAAATTTGGTACAAATATTTTAACAACAGATTCAAATAATTTGAGTAAAAAAAATGGAATGTATCCTCATATTTATTAAAATTACTTTCTACCAAAACATTTTTGATATTCAATAAATGGATTTAAAATTTTGTTTATTTATTGCATTATTTGAAATTTATGTTATATCCCATTTAGATATCCTCAAATACATATTGACATTAATTACTTACTGCAGCAAGGTAAAATTATATTTACATTGAAAATTTTTCCAAGCTAAAAAATCCTTATAAATCAGGACTCTAAACTGTATTTGTATTAGTTGAAAATACAATTTTTAATACAAGATTACGATATTTAAAGTTAAAGAAAAATATTGTCAAAAGAGTGGAACGTCATTGAACGTGATGTGTGCTTCAATGTTGCAGAAATAATAAAGTTGTAAACAGAGACTTTAAAACAAAACATTCTAATTCAAGCTATATTTGTACAATTGTTACAAACATTTAACATTGTGGATGCACTTTTGAATGCCAGAAAACCAAATAACAAAAATGTGTAAAAAACTCAGTTTTTTTGATGTTAGGAAGTGCCAGGGTAACAAAACATTTTGCTTTTAATTAATGTAATTTATTATATATCCACACTTCGAAAAATAGCAAAATGTGGAATGACAATAATCTTCACTATAAAGCATTCATATTCATTTTAAGCATTTTCATGTTTTACTAGAAATGTGTTTTATTGTTTTTTAGTTATCCCCCTTTGCTTTTATAAAAAATCCATTTGTAAAAACATTACATGGTGATGTTTTTTCTTTTTCTGTTTGGCCCTTATCCTGCCAATTGCGACCTAGAGTCGTGATGGCTTATCAGTCTGCCAATTGTCTTGGTTCATATACCATTCCGCTAAGCACTGTACTCACTAGCGCTTCTAATAATAAAATCACTATAGAATATGATCAGTGATGGTAGGTGTAAAATCTGGGGCAAAATACCCAAAACAAAGAAAAAATGGCTAACAGAAAAATAATTTTAATCAGACAGTTTCAGATAAGAATCTATTAATGCGGGTTATTGTATTTTTTTAACATACACACTGGCAAATATTATTATAGCATAATAACACACCAAAGAAAGCATGTTCTTATTTAATATAGAAAATATATTTATAAAAATTATATCTAGAAAATTATTTATGCTGTACAAGTTTTAGATTGCATTAGTGTAATTAGAAAAATAAAGATCAACAGCCATTTTTTCTGCATTCCCTTTGACTGGTTTGTTTAAAACTTGCACAGCAGCCTGCTGAAAAGATAAGGATAAGGGTTAATAATTATGCACATCTTTCTACCAAAACATTTTTGATATTCATAGGATTTAAATTTTTATTTTCAATTTGATTGTTCCCATAGACCTCAATGCATTCTTCATTAATTACTTACTGCCAATTATTTTCTATTACTCCTGGTAAACCCAGCAAATATTTTTGAAAACTGCTTTGAATTAGTTTCAGAGTTTTTAATACAAGATTAGATATTTAAAGTTAGAAAATTATGTCCTAATATGGGTCAGATATCTTAAACCAATACTGTGTAAACAGAGACTTTACAAACTTCAAGTCATCCTTACAATACCAAACATTTAACATTATGCACTTAGCCAGAAAACCATACAGTAAAAATCAGTTTTTAAGGAAGTGCCAGGGACAGCAATTTTGCCTTGTAATTAATGTAATTTATTATATATCCATCGAGTTCGAAATAGCAAAAGGGAATGACAATCACTTCACTATAAGTTCAATTCATTTTAAGCATGCATGTTTACTAGAAATGTGTTTTATTGTTTTTTAGAGTATAAAACTTGACACTTACACTTATGCTCTGTTTGGCTCCAGGTACGTACCAGGGGTCCCCTATCTTGTCTTGGTTCATATACCAGTACGCTAAAACTGTACTCACTAGCGCTTCTAATAATAGTATCACTAGGAATATGATGAGGTAATTATTCATACCCCTAAAAAACAGAAAAATAATTTTACTCCGTTATGCGGGATATGTATTTTTTCTGCGACAGCTGTGGCATTAATTCCCATACTAACAACCAAAGAAAGCATTATATCATTTAAATTACCTTTCAACTCTAGAAAATTTGGTTATTTTAGCTTTGGAATTCAAAGCCATTTTGGTATCTGGACCAGTGTAAATTGCACAACCTGATGAAAAGATAAAATGAAAATCACATTTTTTTCCTCTTAAATATTGAGGACAAAGAATTTTTTTAGAAACTAAAATAGACCTATGTACTTCAGGTACCTTGCTAATTTTTTCTATGTTGCATATATTTTTGAATTTGAAAAATGCAGAAAATGCCAGAAATCCAATTAAATAAAATCATCAATGATAGTAATCAATGTAATTCAATTCAAGTATATGTGATTTTTTTTCTTACAGAATATATAAGTATTAATTTTTTTTTTAATATGTGAGTCTCAAATATTGATTCACAATCACATGTATTACTTTATTCTCTTCTCTTCAGGATATATTACCATAAATAAAAGGTGTATTTTTGAGGCGGGCTCCCCTGAGTAAAATGTTCTCTGGTCCCAAAGATTTCAGAACACTGTCTGAATTATTGTTAAATATCGTTATACGACCAACAAATTTGTACAGGTCTGCAATAGGCTGCTGGCATTCAATGGTGGCATAGAGGTCTTTAAAGTCACTCTCCTTCTGGAACTCTCTAGTCTCAGGAACACAAAAGTGGGTCTGGAAAAAAAATGGTTATTCTAATTTCACATCTAAAGAAACAGTCAACTGAAAAGGCATCAAAAATAAATTAATAATCAAAGCAGAAAATTAATGAAATTAAATCAAATTTTATCTATTTATTTAAGTTTCCTTCTTTTATTAATGAATTATAGTTACAATATAAAAATATATGCTGTTTGGTAGATTGTCAGGAGACCCATTACCTTAAGATTGGTCTCTCCATCTAAGTTAGCTGTTTGGACATAACACTTTCCCTCTGGATCGTAGGAGGAGAGCATCACCAAATCACATGGAAAGCCTTGATTTAGTTTTACTTTTACTATGTCTCCAACCTATTAAGAAATTAAATTAAATTATAAGATAATTTTTACAGATTTTTTTCAAATAAGGATTTGCACACAGCAATCAATTTTAAGCAAATTCAAACATGAAATTTCAATCACTTCAAAATTTTGCAAGTTAATTGGCTTCGGGCAGTTATTCTTCAGGGGGAAAATTTTTCTTCAGAGGAGAAATATTCATTCTGGGGAAGAAAAAAAATTCCTCTTGAACTTTGACCTAAAAGCTTGATCTCAATCTTTCAACCTGGCCTTGACCTTCAACAAATATAAAGACTCTATAATGTGTTGTTTGAAGGTCACTGCCCAGGTAAACACTTTAATGACTAGCTCGGAAGACATAAATCCCAAGACTCCCATTTCACAACCAAATAGTATACTTAATTGTCTTTGGATCCTTATCATAGCGGAAGTATATTCAGTCATTATGAGAACTTCTTCCTCATTATTGTGGTGCATGTTTACATTATTAGTACTCAAGAAGCTCAACAATATAAAGCAATCATTTTTTGAGGAAAAAATATCACCAGAAAAATTCTATTTGCAATTATCGTGATTATCGCTTTTCAGGAAAAATGGAGATTAAATACTTCTTGATCAGTCTACGCTGCACTCAAGTTTGTAGCTGCCATTTATAGCTTTATAAAGCCACTACTATCTTGAAGGATGGGCTAGTCTATAGCCATTACGGACATTAATTCATACAGCACATTCAATATGATACTGATGTCTACCCTAGCAGCTTGGCTCACTGCTATAATTTCAAATGCAGTCTAAAATCTTGCATGAAAGTAAAGTAAAATTTGAGTAATCTGAACACCAGTGGTTCCAAATAAAATGGTCATTTATAGCTTGACTCACTGCTATAATCTTTAACAATTTAAACAATGCATTTTACTGTCTCAAAGATGTAGTTACTTGACACATTACTTTTTTATAGTTTAAAAAATTTCTATATTCTCATGTAAAATTTTCTGTTTCAAGATTATTTCCTTATGTTAATATCCTCGATATCTGAACACCAGTTGTGTTTCCATTAATAAAATGGTGTGTCGGATTTATAGTTTGCTTACATCTTTAATATCGTCGATATCTGGTTAAGAGCATGTTACTTTACCAATCTTCACCCTAATACAAAAACTTTATTTTTACATCACTTCTGTGTTTAACAAGTTTACTTTACTGTCGATATCGTCGATATCGAATCATATCGAATCATGGTTAAAACATTTTCAACCATAAAATCAATTTTGACTTCACTTGTGACTCCGGATTAAATAACAATTTAAACAATGAGTTTTACTGAAATGGACTTAGAGAGTTAATTTGATTTAAACAATATTTATTCAGAACACTGAATAGATTGGGCAACAGGCAAACTGCCAAAATACCCTCTCTATACAGAAAGTTGATATCTTATTAAGAAAGATTTCAGATTATTCAACATCCAGATTAGACAAGTTTCACTGAACAGACTTAGTGTAACACAGTGTTACTTACTTTGATGTTCTGTGCCTTGACTTGAGTGAGTTTGCCATTGTGAACGATGAAGGCATTTCTATTGTTGACCTCATTATCTGCTTTGTGTCTCAGCCAGTCCTCGTAACCCTTAAAATATCAAAAACTCAAATCATCAGCAACTTAGCGGATGGAAATAAACAGTTGAAAAATAAAGTTCTATATCTATAAATTTAAATTGCATACTTGTAAATATATAAACTTTAAAATTCATTTTCTGCAGTGCATGTTTACAAACATGGCTTAAAAGTTGGCAGGTATTTTATGTCTGTCTCTATTTTCATGTATGCAAAGAAAGTTTTATTTCAATATAATTCAGCCTTTACATCTCTTAATTTATCATTTAATACTACCCCTGATTGCTATCTAATTCAATAGAAACAAAACATCTGGGAAAATGATAGTGAGACAATGCGAACATCTTTTGCTTCATGGATAAACAGATTTCAAGTCAGGCATAGTAAGGAATCTCTTTGTTAATTAAACGAAATGTATAACTTTCTAGACTTCTATGCATTGTTATTTTAGGACATAGACAATATTTAATTGCATATTTTGAACTAGGGACCATCTATTGCATGATTGATATCTGAGGTGTAGGCCTTGCACAGTACAGATTTTTTGCACATTTTATTTTTCAAAAATATAGTTCAATTCCAATTTATCTACTTATTTCTTACTTACATGGGAACACCCCATTTTTATAAATCAACTTATTCATAGAATGTGTTGATTACAGATCTAAACAGCTCTCTTTAGCAAAAAACAGATTTTTACATCTCTAAAGATAAAAAAAAATGACAGACATACACAAAATTGATACTATTTGAATTCTTCTTTCTGTTTGTTATAAATAAATATATAGAAAACAGATGTTCTGTTTATGATATACAAAGGGGTGCCTAGACATTCAGTTAATTACATTATATAAAATATACATGAATATAACTTAAATTATTTGCTAGATTTGTCTGACATATAAATGCGAAAAAGTAAATGCTAAGGGTCATTGTGTAGTCTATGTTCAAAGCTATAAATTCTATACATGTCAATACTTGAGTTTAAGGTTTAAACATGCTTTTTGACATTTACAATCAATGTAAAAATATGCTTGGACCAAACAGAAAGCAATTTCAAAGTTCAGAAAGTTTTCTTTATTTCATTTGAGATTTTTTTTTTAATTTCCCTTCGGCATAAAGCAATTCAGGTTGTTTCAAGAAGGTGACAAATTCAATGTAATTTGAAAACTGTATCTGAGCTATTGTTAGATTCTATTGTGAAATAAATTCCCAGTTCACATGCAATAAAGGACTCTTAATAGACATTTTATTTATACATGTAAGGAGTGTCAAGGGGCTGTCACTTGAAATCACTATACACTTCTATCTCTATTATTTATGTGTAATTACTTATATGTAATATAAGATATTATAAAGTGTGCAAATACTACTGTAGATTCCTTAATTTTCGCGAGTACTTATTATCGCGAATGGGCTCTTCAACGTCAAATTGCGAGAATAATAATTCGCGATGGACTTTTGGTCAAGAGCTTACATAGATTTCAGCACCATAAGAATAAAGGCGAGTAATTTTATTTCGTGTGTGGTACTTAATAAATTAGTCCAGCACAATTAAGTGCCTAAACTCACCTGTTTGATGGCTGTGACAGACACGACAAACACAAGAGGAGCTATACTGGTGGCTGGACTTACTGGACTGTCTATAATCAACTGTAAAACAAAAATATTATCATCAACAACATGTAAAATCTCAAAATATAATGAGATACAAAGTCAATACTTGATATTATACCAAAAGAAGCAAGAATTAAATGTCAAACTATAAATTATAAGTGGACAAATGGTGGGGGTCCTTGAAAATGTAAAATAAATTGGACAGCCAACAGGTGTGCATTTATGTATGAATTTTAATGTGTCCTGTTGAGTACTTCTAATGAACAGTTTGAAATTGAACATGTAGTTGCTTTATTTTTTGTTTAAATGCAATGCAAATTTAAGTTTTTGATTGAACATGTAGGATGTGTCTGTTATGTTAAGTGCAAATTTAAGGATTTGCAGACATTGTAGGGCTTTAAATTATAAATTTGCATTCACACCTTTGGGGGGGGGGGGGGGGAGCAGCTTTTATCATTTAAAATAATTCAGTAACATTACTTTAATTTACTACATACATGCATGCAGCAGCCATAAAAATTTTTTCTGGTTGGATGTATCCTTTGAATTTCCATTCTAATTATTCAATATTCCCTGTAAATTGTACCCATGCAACTCTTTGGCTCAGTGTACTTTAGTAAACTAGAATTTCATTCCATTTGCCCAGACACCAAAACAAACCCGAAATTTGTGATTGCTTAAACTTCCCAGTTACATAATAGGGTGTCTTGGCACTAACTTCAATGCACTTTCCTAATGATAAAATTGATCGTACTGGAAAAATGACAATCCACTAGAACAGTTTTATCCACGGCAAACTGTTAAAATTCTCGTACTTCTCGGTTAAACTGTTGTATGATTCACCTAACACAACATTTTCATCATTTCTCGATTAAAGAAAGCATTTTCTTAATTATTTAATTTGTACTAGATGTATAAACAAACAGCTCTGTGTTGTATGTTTATCTATACAGTCCTAAACAAGATGCATGCATGCTTCTGGCATTTCTTCTTCATTATAAAGAAACCTTGACCAAATTATTTTTTTTCTTGGCAAGTAACACAATGTTTTGATGTTTTATCAAATGCAGCATTGAGATGAAACATCACATTAAAATTCTTCTTGATATTTTGAGTTGACCTTATAACCTTTGACTGATCTTACTTTATATTGAATCTTTCCTACATGCAGTTTTTTTTTACTTTCATCAACATGCAAAGAACCAAAAATTAACAATTAAGTACAACAAGAGGCCCACGGGCCTTATAGGTCACCTGAGCATTATGCAACAATTTTCCAGTTATTGAATTTGATTCATGTTTTAAGCCAGATGCTATATGACATTCACAATTTTGAAAGAGGCACCATTGATCATCATAACAATACACTTAGCAGTTGCTTAGCTTGGTTACTGAATATCCATATGCAGGGTAGGGGAACAAAAATGCATTCCAACTAACCAGTAGTGCCCCTAACACTGTGACATAAACCCCTGACCCTAGGTCCACACATTGCACAAATTTCAAAAAGGCACCCTTAATATCAAAAATTAAATGTTTTATAAATACAAAAGAGCAGATTTCAAACAATAAATACATTTTCAGTACATAAGTAGAGCCCCCACCCCACCCCTGACATTGGGGCTTTGAAATTCACATTTCTGCAAGAATACGGCCCTTTCTCATCATAACTATAAAGGTAGTTCATCTGCTTTATACCCAGAGACAAAGAAAAAAAAAATTCAAAGATTTAATGTATTTTCATTATATAATTAATTGAGCCCCACCCCCCTAACACCAGAACCCCTGACCCTAGGGTCATAAAATTCATAATTTTAAAAGAGACATTCTTGTTCATCATAACTATGTACTTAGTTTATTTAATTCCTAGGAGCAGAGAAGAAGATTTTCAAAGAATTCATGTATTTTCAATGTATAATCAATAGAGCCCTGCCCTCACACCAGAAACCCTGACCCTGGGACCATAAAATTCACAATTTTGGTAGAGGCACTCTTGCTCATCATAACTATGCACTTAGTAGGTTTATTTAATACCTAAAAGCAAAGTAAAAGATTTTCAAAGAAATCATGTATTTTCACTATATAATCAATAGAGCACAACACAACCCCCCAACACCAGAACCCTTGACCCTGGGGCCATAAAATTCACAATTTTGGTAGAGGCACTCATGCTCATCATAACTATGCACTTAGTGAATATATTTAATACCCATGGGCAGAGAAAAAGATTTTCAAAGAAATCATGTATTTTCACTATATATAATCAATAGAGCCCCGCCCTAACACCAGAACTGCTGACCCAGGGGCCATAAAATTCACAATTTTGGTAGAAGCACTCATGCTCATCATAACTATGCACTTAGTTAGTATATTTAATACCCAGGGGCAGAGAAGAAGATTTTCAAAGAAATCATGTATTTTCACTATATATAATTAATAGAGCCCCGCCCAACACCAGAACCCCTGACCCTGGGGCCATAAAATTCACAATTTTGGTAGAGGCACTCATGCTCATCATAACTATGTACTTAGTTGGTTTATTTAATACCCAGGAGTAGAGAAGAAGATTTCCAAAGAAATAATGCATTTTCACAATATACTTATTCAGCCCCGCCCTAGCACTAGAACCCCTGACCCCAGGGCCATGAATTTCACAATTTTGGTAAAGGACTCAATGCTGATTACAATCATGCAAACAGTTTGACTGCTTGATGTTCAGGAGTAAAGAAGAAGATTTTTAAAGATTGCATTAATTTTAGTGGTTTCGGCCCCACCCCTCGGGCCCCAGGGGGGCAGGGATCATGAAATTCACAATTTTTGTTCCCCTTCACCCATAGATGCTTTGTGCCAAATTTGGTTGAAATTGGTTCAATGGTTGCAGAGAAGAAGCTGAAAATGTTCAAATGTTAACACACGACGGACGACAAACGACGGACGACGGACGACAAACGACGGACGACGACGGACGAAAACGGATAGCAATAGGTCACCTGAGTTTACTCGGTGACCTAAACAAGAGGCCCATGGGCCACATCGCTCACCTGAGTAACTTGGGTGATGCAGATCTTTTTAAAAGGTTTGTTCTATATATATTTCTATGTAAAACTTGGATTCCCCATTGTGGCCCCGCCCTACGCCCGAAGGTCATGATTTTAACAATTTAATATCTACACTACCCAAGGATGCTTCCACATAAGTTTCAGCTTTCCTGGCCAAGTGGTTCTTGAGAAGAAGATTTTTAAAGATTTGTTCTATATATTTCTATGTAAAACTTGGATTCCCTATTGTGGCCCCGCCCTACCCCCGGGGGTCATGATTTTTACAATTTAATATCTACACTACCCAAGGATGCTTCCACTTAAGTTTCAGCTTTCCTGGCCAAGTGGTTCTTGAGAAGAAGATTTTTAAAAAATTTGTTCTATATATTTCTATGTAAAATTTAGATTCCCTATTGTGGCCCCGCCCTACCCCCGGGGGTCATGATTTTAACAATTTAATATCTACACTACCTAAGGATGCTCCCACATAAGTTTCAGCTTTCCTGGCCCAGAGGTTCTTGAGAAGAAGTTTTTTAAAGATTTATTCTATATATTTCTAGGTTAAACTTGGATTCCCTATTGTGGCCCCGCCCTACCCCCGGGGGTCATGATTTTAACAATTTAATATCTACACTACCCAAGGATACTTCCACATAAGTTTCAGCTTTCCTGGCCCAGTGGTTCTTGAGAAGAAGATTTTTAAAGATTTGTTCTATATATATCTATGTAAAAATTGGATTCACTATTGTGGCCTCGCCCTACCCCTGGGGGTCATGATTTTAACAATTTAATATCTACACTACCCAAGGATGCTTCCACATAAGTTTCAGCTTTCCTGGCCAAGTGGTTCTTGAGAAGAAGATTTTCAAAGATTTGTTCTATATATTTCTATGTAGAACTTGGATTCCCTATTGTGGCCCTATCCTACCCGAGGGTCATGATTTTTACAATTTAAAATCAACACTACCTTAGGATGCTTCCATAAAAGTTTTAGCTTTTCTGGCCCAGTAGTTCTTGAGAAGAAGATTTTTAAAGATTTGTTCTATATATTTCTATGTAAAACTTGGATTCCCTATTGTGGCCCCGCCCTACCCCTGGGGGTCATGATTTTTTCAATTTGATATCTACACTACCCAAGGATGCTTCCACATAAGTTTCAGCTTTCCTGGCCCAGTGGTTCTTGAGAAGAAGATTTTTAAAGATTTGTTCTGTATATTTCTATGTAAAACTTGGATTCCCTATTGTGGCCCCGCCCTACCCCCGGGGGTCATGATTTTTACAATTTAATATCTACACTACCCAAGGATGCTTCCACATAAGTTTCAACTTTCCTGGCCCAGTGGTTCTTGAGAAGAAGATTTTTAAAGATTTGTTCTATATATTTCTATGTAAAACTTGGATTCCCTATTGTGGCCCCGCCCTACCCCCGGGGGTCATGATTTTAACAATTTAATATCTACACTACCCCAGGATGCTCCCACATAAGTTTCAGCTTTTCTGGCCCAGTGGTTCTTGAGAAGAAGATTTTTTAATGACCCCACCCTATTTTCGTATTTTCTTGATTATCTCCCCTTGGAAGGGGTCTTGGCCCTTGATTTTTACAATTAAAATTCCCCTTCACCTAAGGATGCTTTGTACCAAGTAATGTTAAAATTGGCCCAGTGGTTCTTGAGAAGAAGTTGAAAATGTGAAAAGTTTACAGACGGACGGACGGACGGACAGACGGACGGACGGACGGACGACGGACGCCGGGTGATCAGAAAAGCTCACTTGAGCTTTCAGCTCAGGTGAGCTAAAAACAAAAGCATATTTTGTTTAACTCCAATACATATTTTCTGAATTTGTACAAACTGTGCGTGCCATTGACCCATATAATTTGACTTCAACTCAATTCTTATCCTACATTATTTATAGTTGACCTTCCTTTAATTAGCTACCCTCAGTAATCTTAATGTACATACAGATTACAGAAGAGATGGTGTATCAGAAAAGCTAAAACAAACACACAGTTTGGGGGGAATGTGGAAACTGACAGCCTGTTTAGAGGGTGCATTATCTGTCCACCTGTCAGGGGTCAGGGCACCTGTCGGGGATCATAGTTAATCTATGCCCCCTGCTAACCTCCTTTGTTAAGATGGAGGATCAAGATAAGATACCAACCTCTTTCAAAAAATTGCTGCATGCAGTTCCATAGACAATATTAAAGCACACCTATTGTGAATACATGTACTATCTTTAAAATCTGCCATTAATTTACTTCTGCAAGAAGACCCAACCTCTTTATATTGGATGATTTAAAGAAATTAATTAGATGAATGGGATTTGACTTAATTAGAAATACCTGTTTTAACCACTATTATCTTAAAATTTGACCACACAATTCTCAGATTTTTTAAAACTGTTTTATGATATATGACTAATGTAAACAATATTAAAATTTTATTTGTAAGTTTACATGATCCTGATTTAACTTTAGATAAGTTCATGTAAATAAAAACAGTAAACATGCTTAATAATTTTTTCAGTATGTCAAATTTAACTTCCTTAAGTTTCCACCTTTATCAAGTTGATCAATTCAAAGTTTCCGTATGTTTTGATCTTTATCAAAGAGCCAGCTTCCTTCTGTTTTAGGGTCTATCAAGCACTTCATGAATATATATGTACATCATAATAATTTGAGAAAAAAATATGATTACAGTCTCCCATCTTCCAAATTAACTCAACTATCTGTATTCTGCTTTGCTTATGTAAATCTCATGAGTCAATTTTGATGCAGAGGCTGCGTTCTGAGAAAAATGTAAGGAAAATACGAGCTTACGGTGAATAATATACAATGTATGTGAAATACCTGAATAACTCCCACACACAGAAAATAAAAATTGGCAATTCTTCTGAATTGTTCAAACAAGTTCTTTGGTATGAAGTTCCAGACTGTATACTGAAATCAAGAGAAAGCTGTATATAAATTCATATTAAGTCAAACAGTATCAGAAAATAATCAAGATAATTTAAATTCATAAGATCCAAAATACAGTTCAACCTGTTTATGGCATACCAGATTATTATGAACTTCTTGTTAAAGTGGAATTCATCATTTTTCCCCCTAAGGACTGAGTAAAAATGTCAATTAACGTTTTAAAGAATCATGTATCGACTTCAACAGCAACATCTAGAGAATGGCAAAAGTTGTGAATGAAGGACTAATATTGTAAGATATGGGGATTTTCAATTCAAATTCCATAATATTTTTTAGTTGTACTAATGAATGTAGTCTTGAAGAAAATGTCAAAGTTTATTTGAAACCTGACGTCATTAAAACAAAACAGTTTGGATCCCACTGTGGGATGTGGAGACCAGTCCTACAAATGAAACCATATAAACCGAGGTCCCTTATTGGAGTAGGTGCTGGCACAAAAAAGATCCCTCCCTGCTCAATGGCCCTGAGTGCCGAGTATAGGAGTATAGGACAAAATTTGCAGCTCTCCCCTGGCAAGTGGTGGCGTCTCCATATGAGTGAAAAATTTTCAGAGGGACGTTAAACAATATATAATCAATCAATCAAAATAAAACAAGATTTATGATTTCAAAGTGAAAACCTATGAAAATTTTGCTAAAAGGAATAAAGATAAACATGCTAAATATCAAATTCACTTGCACTGCTGATCAATAACATATAGTCAGTTGAACTTCATTATCTCAAACACTTTAATCTCAAATACCATGGATATGTCCAAGCTATTTGAAAGTGCTAGCAATTTTTTCTTTAGCAGTATTTTACCCTCAATAACTTAAGTCCTAGGATATTTTAGAATTTTTTTTCCTTGTACAATGTATCAAGTTTAAGATACTTTTAAGTACATAGTATTTTTTTTTTTTCGATGAGTCCAAAAACTAAGCAGGTAAAAAAAAATATTAAGCTCAAAAAATGGTTGGTAACTATTCTATTAATTTTATAATCTTTGAAAAGTACCCCTGGTAGGTCAAAGGTTAAGTACGAAGTCATGAGGTCAGTTATCCTAAACTTACAGACAGACAGACGGGCTCTGAATCAAGTGTTTCTCTACTTGACCGGTGTACACTTATATCTCACTGAAGTCCTTTTCAAATTCATATCAATAATAAACAATTGCAAGAAAATTAACATTCAAAATCAATATGATCAAATCACATGTAGGTGAAGAAGTGCCACATATTGAAACATATTGACCCAGCAAATCTTGATAAATTTTCAAATGATGTTTCTGTCCTTTATTTTCAGAATCTTATGTCAGCTGTTAATACTTAATTGTTCTTCTTAATACGGATATACACTCTTTTACAAAAGTCACTAATAAAATCACTCCATTATTAAGCACTCCATATTACAACTCATCAGAAAACAAAGAGCCATCTTCAATGGCATTGTTTAATGTGCTTAAAGTCTCATTCGAAGGACTGTTCTCCACATCCCGCAGTGCGATTCCAACACGTGACATATAAGGATCAATGCCTTACTATGTGACTCTAGAGCAAACGCTCTGACCACTGTGTCACTCTTTCAACGAAAGTGTGAACACTCATAAAAATTACGTCCTTAGTATATTGAAGTATTTTGAGTGTTTAAGCATGACAAATCCAATATTATGATGATTTCATGTGCATTAATTATGAATATTGTCACATGAAGAAAATCCTCTTCGATATAAATTGTGTCTTTTATTAGATGTCTATTGGTGAAGAAATGCTCCTTATTTTTACGTAATAAGCTGTACCTTTGATGAGAAGTCTGTTATTGGGGTAATACTCTTTAATTTTACATAATAAACTGTACCTTTGATGAGATTACTCTGCTATTGAGAGGGGGGGTTAATGCTCTTTATTTTTTTGTTATAAACTGTACCTTTGAGGAGACGACTCTGTTATATGGGTGGAAGGGGGATGTTTGGTTAATGCTCTTTATTTTTACGTAATAGACTGTTACCTTTGATGAGACGACCCTGTTATTGGGGTAATGTTGGTGTGTATGTATCGCCACATCCGGGCTCTCGCTGGGCGAGGGTTTGTTGTCCACGTAGATGGTTCTGTCTGTTGGTACATGCCGTTTCAAGCAATCCTAAAATAATATTTTATTCATACATCATGAGAAGACTGAAACAGAATACATTGAACATACATAATGCAGTATCGATAATCCATTAAACATGGAATGCATAATGAACTTCCTACCATAGTCCTCTTCAAGTTTACAAATATACAACTAAAATGAAATGTACATGTATACATATCAGAAATTCATGTAAACTTTGAAAATATCCTACATCCCTTTGTTCATCTCTTGCATTATTTCAGTGTTAGATCTCCAAGGTAGCTTTTTTTCCCCTATACTTCTTAAACATATTATGGAATTTCTTAAACGTACAACCCCATCAACTTATATCTATTAAACAATTATTATATGCTTTGTAGAAAAGAGGTAGGGGAAACCAATGGTTATTTTTAGCAATCATAAAGCTTCCAAGTAAAAGTTTAAAACAGAGATCCAAATACTTGAATATTACACACATTTTTTCTGAACATCTATTAAAGGACAAAATATTGATCATTGTACACGTAAACCTTACCTCTGATTTCTTTCTTTTCATACTCCAGCTGTTTTACAGACAGTTAATTTTTCATAAAGGTTTATAAGTTATAAATCTTACACAGATTAAAACAAGGGAAGCCCCAACCATTTACATCCTTCTTTTTACAGGGTATTCATAATAAAATATATAAGCTGGAGAGATCAACATGGGAACAAGGAAAAAATACCTTTCCTTTTTCATAATTATATCAGGAGAAATGATCTAGACCCCTATTCAGTGACAGTTTTTCTCATCTGATTTTGCATTTCCTGCCCAGCAATACTTGTAGTGGGGTAAAAAAAAATGACACAAACAATGATATATATCTGAGAATTCATTTTAAATAACATGACTAATTGAAAAAAAAATACTTACCATTTCTTAATACATCTCACTTTTTACAGGATCTATGTGCATGAGAATATAACATAAATAAATCCTACATGCGATTGATCACACAGGTAAAAGAGCCATCGACCAGCAAGTACCAATACATATTCTATTGGGTAGGTGGTGAAAATTTTACGACACACGACTGAAAGAGATTTCTCGCTGACACTGAACATAAAACTCAATGCAAGCCTTACTACACATAAAACTAGAACAAACATTGGTCTGTATGCCTGTACATAAGACCACTTAAGGATGGGGCAGTGATTATTGACAGAGACAATAAAGATTTGTGTACAAACAGACTTAGTGTACCTATATCCTTATGTAACTTAAAATAATCATCAATCACGAGGATAATAAATAATGCACACTACGCTCTTCATCCAGAACTTAAAACAAATTTAAATCTTCTTTTTAAAACCAAATGACAAATCAACTTTGTTATTCCAAACATTTGTTTGTAAGTTGAGCTGGAAAATATCGCTCACTTGTCAGTGCATGAGCAGTAATGACCATCAATCATTCAAAGCACTCTAGACTACAATTTTTTTTAACCTCCTTCAAATAGATGGTTTTCCACTGAGGTGATTTAAGCAAGAGTTATTCACCATGACTGCCACATAACCAGAACCCTTCATTAACTACAAGTTCAATTTGTTATACTGGTTACTGAGGCAAAGATAGCACGATTTTTCTAATGAATACATTTGTAAAAGCCTAGCTCTATTAATTCATAATTTTAAAGATTGTAAGTATTTTCCCCCACATATTTCTGGCATGCGGTTTTAAAATAATTTTTTTTTAATTGGTTGCTCAAAGAGGAAAATTCACTGCTTTACCCTACAAGATGGCGGCGAAGGGGAATAACTCCAAAGCAAAATATGTCTGACTCATAGGAAATTCTGGTATTAAATGCAATGTAAATAATACAAACTGTACATGGTGTTTTTAAATTGAAATCATAATCATGTGTATGTATTTACTAAAAGGTAAAATATAAAATATAAGTTCACACTTCAAAAACAAACTTAAGCTGGATTAATTATAATATCTGATGATTCAATATATATGTTAGCCCTCTTTGACAATCAATAATTGAAGAGTAATTTCCCTTGATAACCAAACAACCAACTACCACCACCAATTTGAAAAGTGGGAGGGTATATATTGATTGGGATGTCTGTCCTTCAGTCTGTCTGTATGTCCGTTTGTCTGTATATCTGTCCACAAAGATTCTGTGAAATTCTCCCTTTAATTTCAATCAGTGGTATAAGAGGAGTTGCAGATAAGAGATGGGTACCCCAAAGCATAACGGACAGATGGAATGGATGTACAGACAGAAAGACAGAGTTACAGATGAATGGACAGATGGACACCCCAGTCACTATATACCCTCCCACTTTTCAAGCAAACCTCAATTTTCAACTATCTTGGGTATTTTTTTTTTAAATGACCTATATTTGGGTCCCAAGACGCTCAAAACACCTTCCCCTGAGATGCATCAACTGACATTTTGATAATTTTAGCTACACAGTGCAACTGAGATGACCTGGATAAGATAAAAGTCAGTCTGTGAGACAGACAAACAGACCAAAGGAAATTCTATGCCATAATAGTACCTTCTATCAAAAGAGGGACCTAGCTATTTTATAAGCCCTTATAAAGATAATGATGTTTAGACTATGCTCTTTGAAGAACACAATTAAATATTGAGCTTCTAGTACTTGACACATTAAACTTGCTCTGTTTCTCAAGTGTTGTATTGCAATGTTGACTCTTAGTGTAACTAATATTATGAAGCTGAAGTACAAAAGGCACATTTGTATGACAATTAATCCTAATATACTTGACAATGTGATCAACTAAATCATGAAAGGATCATTCTAGAAAGCTCTGCACACAAGTATATACCCACTTTACAAATGAATATTTTCATAAACAATAATTCAAATGAACAAGAGGCCCATGGGCCTTATAGGTCACCTGAGCATTATGCAACAACTTTCCAGTGATTGAATTTGATTCATGTTTTAATCCAGATGCTATGGCATTCACAAATTTGAAAGAGGCCCCCTTGATCATCATAACAATACACTTGGCAGTTGCTTAGTTTGTTTACTTAATACCCATAGGCAGGGTAGGGGAACAAAAAATGCATTTCAAATAATCAGTAACATTCAGCATGATCAGTAATGCCCCAATCACACATGAACCCCTGACCCTAGGCCTAGATCCACACATTGCACAATATTTGAAAAGGCACCCTTGCTTTTCAAAAATATTTGATTAATACCAAGGAGCATATTTCGAACAATTCATCCAGTTTCAGTATATAAGTACAGCCCCCCCCCTCCTTTATGGTACCCCTGACCCTGGGGCCTTGAAATTCATAATTCTGGAAGATTAGTACCCTTGCTCATCATAACTATATAGGTAGTTCATCTGCTTAATACCAAAGAGCAGAGAAGAAAACTTTCAAAGATTCAATGTATTTTCACTATATAATCAATAGAGCCCCGCCCTATCACTAGAACCCCTGGCCCTAGGGCCATAAAATTCACAATTTTGGAAGAGGTATTCTTGCTCATCATAACTATGTAATTAGTTTATTTCATTCCTAGGAACAGAGAAGAAGATTTTCAAAGAATTCATGTATTTTCACTATATAATCTATAGAGCCCCCCCCCCCCTAACACCAGAACCCCTGACCCTGGGGCCATAAAATTCACAATTTTTGTAGATGCACTCTTGCTCATCATAACTATGCACTTATTTAATTTATTTAATACCCAGGAGCAGAGAAGAAGATTTTCAAAGAATTCATGTAATTTCACTATATAATCTATAGGGCCCCCCCCCACCTTACACCAAAACCCCTGACCCGTGGGCCATAAAATTCACAATTTTGGTAGAGGCACTCTTGCTCATCATAACTACGCACTTATTTAATTTATTTAATACCCAGGAGCAGAGAAGAAGATTTTCAAAGAATTCATGTAATTTCACTATTATATAATCTATAGACCCCCCCCCCCCCTACACCAGAACCCCTGACCCTGGGGCCATAAAATTCACAATTTTGGTAGAGGCACTCTTGCTTATCATAACTATGCCCTTAGTTAGTTTATTTAATACCCAGGAGCAGAGAAGAAGATTTTCAAAGAATTCATGTAATTTCACTATATAATCTATAGAGCCCCCCCCCCCCTACACAAGAACCCCTGACCCTGGGGCCATAAAATTCACAATTTTGGTAGAGGCACTCTTGCTCATCATAAATATGCACATAGTTAGTTTATTTAATACCCAGGAGCAGAGAAGAAGATTTTCAAAGAATTCATGTATTTTCACTATTATAATCTATAGAGCCCCACCCTTACACCAGAACCCCTAACCCTGGGGCCATAAAATTCACAATTTTGGTAGAGGCACTCTTGCTCATCATAACTATGTACTTAGTAGGTTTATTTAATACCCAGTAGCAGAGAAGAAGATTTTCAAAGAAATAATGCATTTTCACTATTTCACTATATACTTATTTGGCCCCACCCTAGCACTAGAACCCATGACCCCGGGGCCACGAATTTCACAATTTTGGTAGAGGACTCAATGCTGATTACAATCATGCAAACAGTTTGACTGCTTGATGTCCAGGAGTAAAGCAGAAGATTTTTAAAGATTGCACTAATTTTAGTGGTTTTTGCCCCACCCCCCAGGCCCCAGGGGGACAGGGACCATGAAATTCACAATTTTTGTTCCCCTTTACCCATAGATGCTATATGCCAAATTTGGTTGAAATTGGTTCAGTGGTTTCAGAGAAGAAGCTGAAAATGTTCAAATGTTAACGCACGACGAACGACGGACGACGAACGACGACGGACGAAAAGTGATAGCAATAGGTCACCTGAGTTTACTCAGGTGACCTAACAATGCTGTATGTAACACATAATTAACTAGATATGCCCATATTGGAAAGGGGGGGGGGGAGAAAAGCTAATGTCTCGATCTCCTTCCTATTTTTAGCCGGGCTCATTGCTCGTAGAGTGAACAACAGAAAATGCTGTTTCTTCACCGCCAAATTGAGTGTACGAGTGAAAATATAGTACGTACGCCCAGTCGCTGTTGAGAAAACAAAATCCATTCAAACACCTTAAGAAATAGTAAATCGAATATTTTTATCAAAATATTAAATTGTTTAATATTTTTCCTGGCTCCTTTGAATAATATTTTACAAAGCAATTCAAAAGGTGCGAAAGGTTTTCATCAGGTATCCCTGTCTGCGTCATATTCTATAAATAAAGGTTGTACTATCTGGCTAACACAAATGCAGGGAACATCATTAATGACTTGATGCAAAACTCCCCGCTGCAGACACATCAGTGCATAGTCGTTTGACCTTAATTAATCTTGCTGCATCGGTGTTTATTTACTTCTGTTTGTATATAAAACCGGGTTACCCCGAAACGATACATGTGATAAATATTTAATGTTGTTAATTTCTAGCTATATTTTATTTAATTTTTAAAACTTTTTAATACCTTACATGCCATTGAGATATTTTTGTGTGTAACATATCCTCTAAACGTCTGAACTTGATTTTAAACTGTCACCACCGTCTTTGTTCATTACCCTGTAAATGAGCCCGGCTTTCAGTACTTCTGAGTACTTTGATTTAAATATCTATTGGGGCAAATAAAGAGAAATCTGAATACCAAATCTCTAAAGCTCCACATACAAACACTGAAACTGCAAGACAGAACTTCTTACCAGAAACACATTTCTTCATTGAGTACTTCGTTGCATTAAGAAAACTTGTTTTCAGCAATGTTTAGAAATGTAGATACCAGAGCACAAACATATATGTTCAATTTTATTATTCATGACAACCTGTCAAATTATATCAGCATGTAAGTCTCGCCATAAATCATCACAGAGGGAATATAATGAAAAGCAGGTCGTGTTCAATTCATGATGCTAAAGGGTCTGTAAAGCTGACCTCTCCTTCTAACTTAATTGAAATATATCACAGCTAAACTCAATTAATACATCTTTTCCCACTCAAAGTGCATAATGCAATTTATTCTTAGTTTCACATGTGTCCGACATCTAATACATACATGTAAACATGTGCACCAATAAAGAAGACCCAGATTCATTTATCATACATTGCCTTTAGTCCCGTAATGTCAAGTGCAGTAATACACTGACTTGAAAAACAGTAAGTTTTTAATGTTTCAAGTACTACAAGCTGGGTAAAACTTTTCAAAGTTTAATATATTTCCTCTTCAAAGAACATGATCTACAAATTATCTTCTTAGGGGTTTACAAATAGCCTCCCTTAAGATTAGCTGTATTATAAAGGCCTATAGAATTTCTTGTCCATATGTTTGTCTGTGTTAGTTTTTCTCTTGCAACACGTGCCATACGTCATATTTTTTCCACGTTTTTCAATGCGGGACCTCAATTCATCAAACACTATCTCAGCTAATGTATCTTGGGAGAGGATATGTGCAAGGACTTTCAAAGAGGTCACTGACTAGTGAGGCCGAATTATGGAATGTGTAAATAAAAAATCACACTTCCAACAGTGAATACAGAATGATATGCTATTACAGATTTAATTAAAAATTGTGTATTGAAGAATCTGAAGTGTTAGATATACCCATCATTCTAATTGCCTCAAACCCTGGTACTCCTACTATAACTATAACTGTTAGCTATAGATGGTCCAATGTTCATTTCATGAAATCTGTATAATATTTTTAATTCTGACCAAGAAAACTGAGGACCAACATGCTCAATGTATAACCTTTATCCTCGTAACAGTGTATATATATTTATATGCAACTGTCATATTACCTGACTTTTATTAAAACAATTTTTCAAAGCTGACAGGAGGTGATCACTGATCAAGCTTCTGGACAGCAATCTTATGACAAAGTGAACTAATACAGTAAATTCTAGGATTTGCATATTTGATACACATCATCCTAAAGGAAGCCCTCCAGTGAAACATTGATGCAGGCTACTAGGGTCACCACACCCATAGCTGAAGGTAACCAGCATAACTATAGCGTATATACCAAAACACTGTAACTGTTAGCTATATGTGTGTATGTTATAAACAGAACTTAGCAGTAATATTGTTCTTTTAATTAAGGCTTATAACCATACTAATCAACTGCACACGAATAGAATGACACGTTTCTCATTTTTCAACTATCTGTACTGAAAATGTAAACATGTTATAAACATTGAAAAAATTCAAACAATACACACCCATCGACGTCTTAATGTATTCATCAAAGGCATTTCTAAACTTTACTTTTGATAATCCATTATTCCACAGTCAATAAGCTCCGATTCCGCAAACAAAATATTTTTTGCGCTCACTTTCTTTTTCCACCTGCCCTCCATACCGACGCATGTGATTAACCTTAGGCGCTTGAGATAACGCGCGAAGAGTTCCGATTAGCACAGTATTTCGGGGATAATGTCAAAATTTAAAATAATTGTTGTAAGCGTCAACATTTTGTAATTATTTTTTTTAATAATTGAATATTCACAAGCAGAAAATCATCTTCTATTAGGCCTATTATAAATAAATAGGTCAAAGGTCAATGAAATATATGGAGATAACAAACAGTTTTTGAGCTCAAAAGCCTCTTGGACAATACAAACTTTCAAGCAGACCAAACAGGGACCTTTAAAACGTCAGAGGTGGGATCAGGTGCCATGTAGGAGTGAGCATCCCCTGCTGGATGGATACTCACATTGTCATGATCGGGAAATTATGGAAAAATCCATCGGCAATTAGTGTGTAAAAAATGGCCCAACAATTAGTATGAAAACGTACTTCAGTCAGCAGTTGATTTTTAGATTGTAGGCTATTTAATTGCCGACAACGTCCAGCATAATGTATCGACACCATAGAACGTATGAAATGACAACTTTGAACGAGACTTCTGATATTCTTGTTTCATCTACTTGTTTGTCAGTAACCTGTAACCTCATTTTAGAAATTGTTCATAGGAAATTCTTAAATTGCCATTAACATTCTCCAGATGATTTTCTTTAAGATTGTTTCAAGAAAAATTTATCCTAATTACTCCCAAAGGCATAAAAAGACCACTACTGATTTTCTTCTTAATATATATATATTTTTTTTTTTTTTGGTCAAAATGACAAAGGGCAAGGTCATAAAGAATGGGTGGACTTTACTGCCCAGAAAAAAATGTTGTAAATGAAAGTTTTATAAAATGTTTATTTCTTTCCATCATATAAATCCCCAATATATTATATATAACCATGTATTTGTAACAAGAAAGGAGAAAATGTATGGCTGGACCGGGAATCGAACCCGGACCCCTGTATCTCCAGTCAGGTGCTCTACCAACTGAGCTATCCAGGCCGATATCCACGGCCCAAACCATTACATTCCTCCCTCCTTAAATGGTCTTCGCCCTCGAAGACACAACCCAAGTTCTTAATGCCCCTGGCAGGACTTTCACCTGCAAGTCCAGGGATGATCAACGGCACCAAATCTGTATCAGGAAAGGAGAAAATGTATGGCTGGACCGCAAATCAAACCAGGGACCCCTGTATCTCCAGTCAGGTGCTCTACCAACTGAGCTATCCAGGCCGATATCCAAACCATTACATATTCATAGTACAGATATGAAATTAAAACGCTCTTTTCAGAAAAACTAAATACTGTATGCAGGTAAATTTTTGCTCCCATTTTATTTTCGCCCCTTTCGCCCTCTTCATAATTGGGCGAATTTAAAATTCGAAGAATACAGCAAAATTTCTTAAACAGAACTATGACTGGGCGAATTTAAAACGGGGCAAAATTGTTCTCAAGTGCAAAAGGGTGAAAATAAAACGGGGCGAAAATAAGCCTATATACAGTAAATATCAGAGGCATAGGGTCTTAAAATTTTTTGATTAATATGGTATTACATTTGTATGTCAATAGATAATCAGGGGCACACGTTTTTCAACGGCTGATAAACTTCTCGCTTCCATTGTTACGACTGTGCTAACCTTGATTTTGACCTTGCTCGACTGTTGAATATTACAATTCATCACTAACATGATGTCCACCTGCGAGTGTACTCGAGAAAACAGTTTCATTGTATTCTTCAGCCTGACCTCGATCTAAATCATGTCTTGGGGTGTGTTTGGTTGCAATTTTCAGAATTTCACAAATTAAATATTATCAATAACCTAGCTACTTTGAAACTATAATACTTTTTGTTGATTTAGATTTCTTATACAATTCAGCTTTCAAGAAATTTTCAAAATTTGACTTTTGTGAGGGCAAAAGTATGCTATATACTGCATATAGTTCTTTGAATGCCTAAAATCTAATTTGACAGTTCAATAAAGTTTTCACTTTTAAAGTAAGCCCCAATGCCAGGCGAATGTCAATCAAAAGCACACTCATTCTTTTCTGAATTAGCTTTAGGTTTGAGAGCAAGTTGTTTACAGAGATACATACATATCCAAAACCTACTGTAAAATCAAAGTACTCAGAAGTACAGAGAGCCGGGCTCATTTACAGAGTAGAATGGATTTCTTACATGAATCAAGTTTGTATTCTGATGAAAAAATTATTTTAAAACTATCAATATAAATGAGAAGACACTGACAGTGAGTTTTTCAATCCTAATACCACGGTCCGATTTTGTCAGAATCAGAATTAATCTGGTACCGCAGCCGAATGTAAACAAACAGGCCAGTCTGGTTCCCTCTCCTGCTTTACCTCGTATGTGTAGAGAACTACGGTAACACTGAGTATAATCTCCACTCATTATTTGACAGACTATACCTCAAATAATACAACAACTATGCTGTAAGCCAGGCTAGCTTAGTGGGAGCAGCTGGCGTTTATTTTGAAAAAACAACACATAAATATTGAACATACATTACATTGTATATGAAACAATAAAGCACTGCAATCTATTTGTAAATTATATTACATGAAATAAATCATACCCTATCACCGACATTAAAAACCGCCCAGGCAAAAACCATAGACGGTTAACTATGGAAAACCTGTGTCCGTCGCTATGTAAATAATGTCTCAAGGGAGAATGTCGGACGTACATTCAATGCAGTACTTGAAAAATGCCTGAACACCCTATAATGTTTGCATGTATGAAAAAATCGAAATTAAAATTCACTCCAACAAAATTGTTTCTTCTATTACCGATATATTTATACAAACATGACAAATATTATATATATATATATATATAAATAAATAAAATTAAAAAACACGTGTGTGTGTTGAAGAGCACTGGCTTAGAATGATTTGAACACCTTACTGAATACTGCTTTCTCATTGGCCTTCCTTTGACCACGCCTACTATACAGGCAAAAACCAATAAAATACGTTCCTATCATACAATGTTTTCCCGCTATACTACGAAACGCGGGAAAACACTAGTATAATCTCCACTCATTATTTGACAGACTATACCTCAAATAATACAACAACTATGCTGTAAGCCAGGCTAGCTTAGAATAACTAGTTCAAAAGTTAGTGGAAGAAAAAAGATCATCGACAAAAAATATAATAATAACAATAACAAATTTTTTATTTATTATAAAATAATCTCTATTTCAATATTTGAAATTGGTAGATAATATCATAGCCCTAAGTTTTTAGAAACTGACAATCTACTGTCCAGACTGTCTTGAACATAACCGTCTTTCGCTGAATCCGACGCCCAACGCCCATGTTTTTTCCAACACCTATCGTTGATGTCCGAATTGGCCGCTGCCGTGGCTCCGCCAGCGCGCAAAGAATGAATGCCTATGTTAACATCACCCATAATGCTCTTGAGTTTTGATATAATACATTCTCTCGCTCGTGTATAGCTAAGTTTTTTGTTTTTGTACACCAGATTAATTTTTCCTTTTGAATTGAATGTAGGTTTGAACAAAAAATGATTTGAAGATTTTTCGATGCATCCCAACTCATAGTATCGTAGTAGCATTTTGACAGGACAGGCGGATGTAGAACCACTTGATATAACTATTTCATTTCCTTGCCTGTATTGGTCGGTTTTACTTTTACGTATGAACACTTTTATGTAATTATCCACGAAAACTATGTCGGAACAAGCTAATGAACTGAGCTCGTCAAATCTTAGAAATCCTGCGAAAGCTAATAAAATCATGGAAATATCCCTCACGTCTACGAGATTGGTACTGTTGGAGTAAAGATTACACAAAGCTATGAGATCTTTAGCGGAAACTGCCGCCTTTTTGGATACTTTGGATTTGTTGTGACGTCTGGAACTCTCTAACAAATTCTTCACAAATGGATGATCGGTAGGATCAGAGTAACCCAAAATGGAATGTGCCCACTTGATGGCATAAACTGCACTTGAAACCACGTGAAATGAACATCCAATATTTAAAAGATGAGTTAGATACAACGAAATATGCACAGAATTAGCGGGAACTGACCGCTTTTTCTTGTTATATATAAACCTACACCACCTGTTAAAAGCTGACATGTATTTTTTACTCGTATTTACACTTTTTGATTTCAGAAGAAAATCACACAGCTTCCTCGCTAGAATGGCATTTTCCGAATCTTCTAAATCCACACCCGCTGATTTAACCACTTCCTCTATGGTCTTGTCCAAGCTTAGGTCTGCAAAAAAACACATAAGTAATATATAAAACGAATGCCTAATATACATGTAATTCTAGAACTGTAATCTAAGAATGACCATATCAAATATTTTGTGCCCACCGAAAATACCATTGTCCCCTTTTCCCTTTTGGGTTATCAAGGATGTTGTATGTTTAATTTCTTTCACGAAATATTGCCATTTGTCCCCCTGTTTTAGAAGTGGCCAATAAGGAGCAGACTTCCAGACAGGAACTATTAAAGTACCCTTGCCTTTATCTGATTTCAATTTAAGAACGGTTTTACTGATAAGTCTGGGTGGGGGTACTAACCAGTTATTATCCTCACCCCAACCTTGACTAAATGCATCGACCCCTTTTGTGCCTGTACACCACCACCTTGAATTAAATGTTTTACATTTTGTGTTATAATCAGTAGCGAACCTGTCACATGTATGAGGGCCCCAGTTTCTGTCAATGTTTTCAAACACATGAGATTTAATTCCCCAATCATCGCTATCAAAACACCTACTCAGAGCATCTGCTCTTGTGTTCTTTTCTCGTGGTACCCAAATGCTATTTAAAAGCACATTTTTTGTGGCACACTTACCATGTATTTCTTTTGCAATACTGTGCAAATATGGTTTTTTACTGCCCACCTCTAAAATTCTACAAACATTTTTATTATCATTGTACCAATTGACTTGTCTATCCTGAATACTTTCTCCTATAGTATTCAATGCTCTATTTACAGTTTCGAGTTCTCTCCAAGTAGAACTC